ATTTGTGACAAGGGCAGTTAAAGGTTAGCTGGCTATCTGGCTCTTGGTCACTTGGTCATCCTTTAATCTTCACTTGCCGAATCCTGAAAGAATGAAGCAGAACAACACGTTATACACTCTATTGTCATGCTGAACAGACATCTTAGCTTTTCATGGCATACACAACGATGGAAAGTAATGGAAGACTTACCGATCGGGCCCAGGCCTCCATAACCGCCAATACCACCTGCAGGGACACGAGCACCACATTATATAATCCAACAATGTTGTCTGAAGGTATGTCAAAACGCTCGTAGTGCAATAAGGCAAGTTAGTTGCTGATGACTAGTGCTTGCATATATTTGTAAATATTAACTATAAATATTTGCTTTTGTTATTTCTGGAAATGAAATTAGTGTTTTTACTTACCATATCCTCCTCCATATCCACCATAACCTCCATATCCACCATAGCCTCCATATCCACCATAGCTTCCATATCCACCATATCCCCCATATCCACCATAACCACCCAGACCTCCAAATCCGCCAAGACCGCCAAATCCACCGAGGCCGCCTAATCCGCCCAAGCCTGCAATAATGCCCCCGCAGCAAACACCAACCATCATTGCCACCACCACTGCTGTTGACAGGACCCTCTGGAATAAAAACACGATGGGTATTATTTTTCGAGACAATCACTTACTGCCTTACAATTTCAATAATAGTTGAACACACCCACAAATGCTATAATGTTTCTTGTGTTAATGACCATAGCTGTGACTGCTTCTTGGTGGTGGAGGAGCTGAGACCGAATGTTGAATAAGGAAGGTCTTCAAGAGCTTATATAGGCAAGGAGCGGCGTGCTGCAGACCGCAGCATTCAGGATATGCATCTTGCATAATGGTCTGTTGTTTGTGTCAAGAAACGTGAAAGGTGAGTAACAGAAATATATAAATATAAATGTATAAAACTACATTCAAGCATGAAGGCCAATGCACATGGGTTGTCCCGTTGTTTACACATGACAAAGCTTTTTTTTATAACCAAGTTGTTGAAAAAGTTTAGATTTCTTACGAGAGGCTTTCGTCTTAGGCAGGGAAAATAAAATATCGACTCTTCTGAAATTTCGTTTACTGTTTTGATTATATAATCCATACACAGAGAAATCACAATAGTAGCGTGATATATAACGTGATATATAAATGAACAAACACACAAGGGCCTTGATGAGGGTTCGAACATATGCGCTGGATGTTCCAGACGCGCTCTAGTCAACTGTACCACGACACGGATAAGAATTGCAACCTGGAGTGCAATTACCCTCATGAGGATTCTGAGGCTTCCACTGAAGCCTATCCGGGTTTTCACACAATTTCCCCATGAACTCGAGCTCTGTCAAGCAAATAGTTCTACCTCTGACTGTTACTTACTATTATATATTATTACTGTATAGACATACTTTTTACTATTGAGAGTTACTGTAACTCACATACAAGCATAAGTGTTCATAAATGATATTTATGAACATTTATATACATTCAGTCCATTTTACCATTTCATTTATGAGTGTTACTCACATACTATTTTGTGAAAGTTATTGTAATAGACATACTATTTCTATATGCTTCAATACACAGAGAAATACAAAGATGAAGATTCGAACCTATGAGTTGGATGCTTCCATGAGAACATGTTGTGAATTCGTACATTATATAATCATTCAAAACTTACAAACTTGTTTTTAATTGTACAGATATTAGTAAATACAAAGTCTAACACGCACATACATATTAGTCTATGTGTGTCCCCTAACTCCCCTTGCCACTTCGTGGGGGTATAGGGTGTTTATGTAGCTTCAGGGCACGCTTAGGAGCTACAATAAAACTAATGCCAAAGGCAAAGAATATGACAAGGGTCTGTGAATCATATTTCCAGCCTCCCAGTCTGGAGTTCAAGGCCGGAGGTTTTCAGTGACTTACCTTGCCGGCAGCTTCAAGGGCGAGCGATGCACTCCGCTGGTAACGTCGAGAAGAAACCTTGCCTCCTCATCTGAGATCTTTTCAACACCCTCAATACCATTCTTCAGCATCTGAAGGATGAGAAATTTTCTCCCTCTCCCACTTCTGCTTTCACTTTATATTTAGCATGGATGACCAATTTCAGCTCTGAGTCTCTCGTTTCGCTCAATATTTGTTTCCTAGTGCCACATTAAAAAAAATAAAAAATTATACTTGTGACGTCAGTTTCTGCACAAATCACGGAATATTTAGAGAATGCTGTTCTATTCCGATTGTTCTCTGAACGCGAATGAGTATATTCCTAAGGCGTCACAATATTTGAGGATAACATAGCTTTTACAGTTTTACCGAACGCTCCCAGTGAGAGCATGATAATGCTCTCTGTCGTGTACTGGGCCCGAGGAACGTACAAACTCTCCCTTGTTTATTTTTTAATCAAGACTATAGTTCAGTATGAATGGTACATAATTGAAACTGCGATCTAAGAGGTTTTATCCTACATCAATACATCAACTCATCTGAAGCTTGTCCCTAAAATTTGTATATTTATTGTGTTAATTATTAGATTTTTAGTCAGATAAAGTTTATTTAATGGTAAGTTAAGAATCATGTTAGGTAGAGGATGAAGCTGGAACCAACTGTGTACTAGAGGCTTTATCAAATAGAGTGAACATGTTCCAAATACGAGTCACCGTAAGAGTAAGTGATCACTGACGAGCTGAAGTTCTTGAAATGGTTGGTGGGGATCTGTCAGCACATTGGCTTTATTCATCAAACGCCAAATGGAAGTCACTGATGTACTGATCAGCCCCGACCAGAATGAGTCCAGACTAGATATGAGGCGTCTCGCGCATGGTTCTCCTCCTGGTACAGACGTCAAGTGAAGACAGAGAGGAGGGCATTCAGGAGAATGATGACCAAAGCACACATCAGAAAATGAAGAAACGATGACGTTTCGGTCCGTCCTGGACCATTGATAACCGAAACGTCGTCGCTTCTTCATTTTAAAAATTTATATCAAGAAGCTTTCTAAGTTTTATATGACAGAGTGCTGAGTAGACGGGACACCACGAGCGTAGCTCTCATCCTGTAACTACACTTAGGTAATTACACACACACACACACACACACACACACACACACACACACACACACACACACACACACACACACACACACACACACACACACACACACACACACACACACACACACACACACACACACACACACACACACACACACACACACACACACACACACACACACACACACACACACACACACACACACACACACACACACACACACACACACACACACACACACACACACACACACACACACATTGGCACACACACACACTGTTGAACACATGAAACAGTGGAAACAGGAGGCCACACACAGAATAGGAGATAAAGTACTTAATGAAACAGACAGAGAGAAAGATCTAGGAGTTGATATCACACCAAACCTGTCTCCTGAAGCCCACGCACGCACGTCAAGCACAAGACGAAGCAAAGTCCAAAGGTATGCCACTAGACACACACACACACCTCACGACACTGGAAGACAGAAGACACACACACCTACACACACACGACCACACACACACGCACAAGGGGACACACACACACACACACAGTAAACACATTAGGAAGTGATGTGGTGGAGGCACACACACACACACACACATATACACACAATTCTATATTCCAGATTATTAGATTTGAAATGAAACATTCCCAATACGGTTAAAGTGCAGACTTATAGGTCGTTGTTATTGAACATTGTTAATTTACATATTATGCTGCGGCCATGAGATACTATTATAAAGTTATGTTGATGTGTTATAATAAGCATCTACTTAATAACTCCAATGTAAATGTCGGCTGCCACTGGATTTGCATTTACAGTCAATTGCTATTGTCCCTTGAAAAGGAGGAAAAATGTAGTGTCGCTGTCTATAAACCAAGCCATTGTGAGTCTGAAAAATCAGTATAAATCGATCAGAGATATTTCCAATACGTGGGTGTGTCAAAATCAACTGAGTTGTGTACTGTTAAGAAGCAAGAGCCTACCGGTTAGTTTAGCAGCAGCAAACGAGCTAGTATACCACACATGACTACTGTAGTGGAATGCTGAAAAATACTTGAAGTTATTACCGACAAACGGGATTAAGCGCCAAAAGAAATAGTCCATATCTCGATAGCCAGAAATGCTGTCCATTTTTTGTTGCTTCAAGAATGTACTTTCATGTTAGCATAGTTAAATGAATTTAAGCCATTGACATTTGGAATGACAAAACAATGATACCGTTTTCTGAAATTGCAATTGCACAGTAATCGACCCGAATCGATTATTTATATTGCAAAAAATATTAAAGATATCGTGGTCATGTTCATGTACGTTTAAGTTAATGACAGGAAGGTAGTAAGAAGAGGCTAAACAATTAACACTTGTGAAACAATTAAAATTGTTCAATCATTAAATTAATATCATTATAATTTTCGTGTAGGATATTGTCATTCGTCACAATCGAGCAGGTCGGTGAGGACATCTTTCTGATCTCCGTCCTGTGACTCAGCAGCTGCACCTTCACGTTCAACAAGAAAAACTTCTGGATATATTTTATGTGTTTATGTTGATATGTATGGCAGGTCTCTGAGGTCGTCATGTTCAAGTTTCCTGGTGGCGGGATACTCAACACTCCTGGTCGTGGCGGCGTGATGTGGTTGAGTATACAGGATTGGCTTCCTGGTGGCGGGATACTCAACACTCGTGGCGGCGTGATGCGGTTGAGTATACAGGGTTGACTTCCTGGTGGCGGGATACTCAACACTCCTGGTCGTGGCGGCGTGATGTGGTTGTGTATATAGGATTGGCGGAGTACGCTGGTACACTCAAGTTGGTTTTGGGTGAGATGGTACTGAGTCACGTATATTCGTAAGCGCCTCACTTTCAATTGTGAAAATAAATTGTTTTTAACTGCGAGTAGATCATGAACGCTCGCCAAGATATAGGCACAGATGTGCTAGAGGTGACCATAAAGAGACGATTTCACCAACTTAACCTCAGAGGATTCACCGCAAGATGCACACCACTGGTAAGTCTAATGATCAGAACGACCACGTTACAATTTGCTACAAAGTTCATAATAACAAATGTTTTGAAACGAAGTCTTATTACAGAGGTTAATACAACCTATAGGAGAGTGCTGGAAAGAAGAACCTGTGGAACAAGGAAGGAACCTGCCATGATCCAAGGGAAACATGATGGCGGCAGTATTTTGACTGCGGCTTTAATGCCAGCCAAAGGAACTGGTTCACTTGTTTTTATTGATGATCTGATTGCCGATGGCAGCATCAGAATGATTCTGAAGTGTATAGCAGCATTGTGTTTTCCCAAATTTGACCAAATATCTCAAAACTCCATGCAACAAGACAATGACCCCAAACATGGTGCTAAAGCAACCAAGGATCTTTTCGGGGTTGAAGACAAGTAGAAACTGAAGATGACTACAGTACAGGCCCGGCAAAGCCTGGTCAGGGAAAACAACTAGCGTCTGGTTATGTCTATGGGTCGCGGAATACAGTTTTGGCATGCAAGGAATTTGCAACTTAATCATATAAATTGGAAACCACAGTAGCGTGGGAACAACAGTTCTTCTGTTCGGAAGATCGTTGAGGTAAGTTCCCACGCAGCAAGTTCCGGGGAAACACAATAACCACGGTGCCACATCGCCCTTTTTTGTGTTCTGGAAACACCAGTCATTTTCCAACAGTCTGGAAAGAAAACGAAGGAAATTATGAGGCGAAAGCCCTCAGCCAGTATGGCTACTTAACACATGGAGAGACAGAAGGAGAAAATAGGAGCTGGGATAGTGGGGAACGGTGTGAAAGAACGATGGTCAACCACTTGACAATCGGGGATCGAACGCTGGTCCCTGCAAGAAGCGAGGTCATCACTCTACCGACCATTCCAAGCTTGCTTTCCCGGTGATGAGTCAAATATTACAGTTCGGGAGTCTACAGAGTGCTTCCGATTATATATGACAACCCGAGCATATTCACCGACCTACGGTATACCAAAGTGGTTCACACAGTCATGTGAGGGAGATATATGATTCGTATCGCTTCGCCTGTGGTTGCAACTTCAGACTTGAGATTAGATAGTCTTAAGAATAGGTAGGTAAGAGAATAGATAGACTTGAGAATATATATATATTTGAGAATAGATAGTCATGAAACAAACATATTTAAAATGGAGTGATTAAACATTGGAACAGGGTAGGATCCTAATCATTAGAAAATACAATTATGAAATTAGTATTATTGATTACTTCGTGTTCCTCCGCACAAGTAAATAGCATTGTCAGGTGTGTCATATGTCTCACTTTACAAAGAATCGATGTTGCTTTACCGTAACCGCTCCGGCCACACCCAAATTACACCTCATGAAGGTGTGACCATCGCATGAGGCAGGCGGCGCAGTCAAGGATAACCCTGTTTGTTGGCAACATTTCATCTACATCAAACTTAGGTCATTTAAGACTTTTGCTTGAGGTCTTTTCAAAACCCTGGGAAATGAGTTTATTTAGAACCATGTTAAGATGTGATTGTTGAAATTTAAGATCAAGTTTAGGAATGAAAAGTCGTGATATCATTGAGTACCCTTTTTTCGCCGGGATATTCCTGTGCGGGCTTGAAGCCTCTGGCTGGCCCACTAGGTGTTACTAGTGTCTCATTCTGCGTTGAGCACTGATGCCCAGAGAGGTCCAGATAGTGTTGATATGCTTCAAATAAAGTTTTATAATGTGATATTTTTTCGTTGCAGCAAAGATATTTCCTCTGTTCTTTCTATAAATATATTAGTCAAATTATAATAGATAACAAAGAAAATATATTTATGTCCATTATATGCATTAGTTATTATAAAATAATGTTCTGAATACATTCACATCAACAACATAACTAGTGAAACATATTATCCGGATAATTTTATATCTTGATGACTTTTTGCTAGCACGTATAATACAAACATGCATGAGTATAAATACACTTTGATCATTGACTAGTTTTATCTGAGGAATTAACAAATCTTTCAAAAACTGTAAAATATATGCTCAAAAATATATTAACTCAAAACTTTTTAAGATACCTTGTGGTATTTATTTTCAGAATGGCATGTGATGAGAAGGCTCAAGCACTCAATATAAACATTCTTAGTTACACAACACGTAATGTTGTGTAACTAAGAATAATATTGTTACACAACACATATTATCTGAAAATAATGTTGAATAATATTTCCATAATACCAACATCTGGCAAGCAGTTTCAGTTCACTAATGCAATATGCGAACATCATAAAGTCAGCGTGTTCAGGTCCTATACACTATGAATTATCCAAATACTTACAATTTTCTTCTGTAATATTTAGGTCTTTTGTTTCTGACTGCGACCTCAGCAAGGCCGGCGAAGACCAAGTCCTGAAGGTTACGTCAGACGGGAGGGGCCACGTCCCGGTGCATATAAAGTCCTGGACACCCGCCTCACCCTCACAGTTGTCTGGCATCTCGGCTTCACCTGTTCTCCAGCTATGGTATGAGTTAATAAAAGGCTGTAGTAATATAATAAAATCATTTTGCTTAAAAGGTTCTCGTAAATGTGTGAAATAACAAAAAAATATGCCTTCTTAAGATTTATTAACAGAATTTATTTTATTTCAGCGTTTCCAGGCGTTGATTGTAGTGTTGGCCGTGATGGCCAGCGTTTGCCAGGGTGGATTAATTGGTGGCCTCGGGGGCCTTGGCGGCCTTGGTGGCCTCGGAGGCCTTGGCGGCCTTGGTGGCCTTGGTGGCCATGGTGGCCTCGGTGGTCTTGGTGGCATCGGTGGATATGGAGGTGGTTTGGGCGGATATGGTGCTGGCTTGGATGGTTATGGTGGTTACGGAAGCTATGGTGGAGGGTATAATGGTGGATATGGTAAGCATAAAATCTTTCAGCATAGTTATTAAGCTAAAAACATAATGATTAAGAGTTTTGTTGCTGTCCAAGAAGACTAATAAAAGTGAATGTGGGCACAGGTAAAGTTATTTGGGCTGGAAGAAGAGGTAACTCGCTGTCTGGAATAGCTGTAAAGAGAGGTCAATGGAGATACATAATGTAACTTAAATATGAGGATAGAGATAAGCCAGTTTGACTATATAACACATGGAAGGTATATGAGAGGACAGGTGCTAGGATATGACGCCGAAGGGTTGAAACGATGATCAGCTCTCTTGGACCGTTGGGGAATCATACACAAGCCTGTAGGAAGCGAGGCCTTCGCTCTAGCAACCAGTTCAAGAAGTTCTTGAAGCGGTCGATCAACTTCAAAAATTTCGGGCTGAATGACTAATTAATTTATAAATTGATAAACAAAACATGAAAATAGGTCGGGAGGAAAAGGACTCGTGCTTTGAAAGCTTTAGTCATGAAGAATTAGATACCAAGTGCGGCAGATAGAGGCCTGCGAGAATTTAGGGTGCTGCTTCAAAGTGCCAGTCATTATATACGGTTGAGTAGACGTTGTGGCGAGCGCTGTTTGAAAGGATATTTTGAGATGCATTTGTGGTGTTAAGAAAACAGTTAAATATAGGAAAAAGTCTATGAGGGCTGTAGATCACAAACGTCGGTCTTATCTCATAATGAAGATGATTTGGTCCTATTGAAGGGATGATTAATAAAAGAGAAATATAAATTGGTCTTCGGAAGATAGTCGCTATGACGCGCTTTTATGCTGCTCTGAATGTTTTATTGCATGAGCCAGAGAGCGGTGCCGTTAACTCTACTGACTCCCGGGATAACGTTTCTTACCCCGTGATATTTGCAAGTGTGATAATAATGTGATAACGACTAAATATAACTTTTAAATATTTTGCTCTCATAAGCTTGTATAACCATAATACATTGATCTGATCACTCCACAGGCGGTGAAGGAGGACACACATTCATACTGAGCAAGAGCTACGGTGAGGCACCAACATTGCTTTATGTTCTTTATATAATGATTGTAACAATATCTTTTGCACAACTCCACACGAATGCGTTTGTCAAATCTTTTTATTCATCGCCTGTATTGTCTGCAGGAAGTCACGGAGCCTTCGGCAAAGGCGGCGAACATGGTAAATTTGGCGTGGGCGGACTCGGGGCATTTAACAAAGGCGGATTCAGTAAATTTGGCGCCGGCGGACTCGGTGGGATTGGAAATATTGGTTAGTATGTATTCGTATTTTTGTATTATTTGATTGGAAATATTTTAAACTAGAATAATTATTACCGCGTTAACATGTTATAATATTTATATACTAACAGGTTACGGAAAGTAAGTCAACGGAATCACCTTGTCCTGACGATGGTTAGATGTCTATACCTGTCCTCGTCACGAGGGCTAGAACGTGTTCCTCAGTCCTCGTCACGAGGGCCTGAACGTGCTTCTCAGTCCTCGTAATAAGGGGCAGAACGTGTTCCTCAGTCCTCGTTATTTCTGGAATAAAGCAATTGGAAAGTAATCGGGTTTTCTTATTATCACTGATTTTTAATTCCTTTTTGGACGTTTAACGATTCCAAACAAATTAGAAGGAAAGAAAAACTTACAAATATATATGAACAGAAGAAACGAAAAGAGAGATTTAAGTTGGTGGAAAACATTAATTACATAATAATTTTTGACTAAAAGCTTCCTATTTATGTAATACGCATATAAACCTCACTGTATTTGATTGTTTATTTACTGGAAAAATAATAAAATAAATAGAAACTTCTTACATTATGCAATAAATATGTATTATGAAAAATGTATATATTTTCGAATGGTATACTTAGACCACTTAGAAGAAATATTGTTTGTTTGTCTAAGGTTGGAGGCCAGAAACTTAGGACTAGCTTCACCCAACTTTGCTGAGGGAATGGTCTAAGGTACTGGATGGACTTTGGCTGGTGAGGGTCTCCAGAATTCAAGAAGAAACTGCGTGCCAGTCTCATATTAATCCCTAATGACTGATATTGACACGGTTCTTCTGCTACACCTGGATAAATATTTTAAAAATAAAAATTTTAAAACAAATTTTTGTCCTACAGCAAAATAAAAGACTATTCAATGATCTCCCGAAATTTAACAGAAAATTTATTTTCTGTCATTACATTCTGCCCATACCATCATTAAACAGATGATCCTCTTATCGCTTTAAAGGCCAATGGGTATCTATTTTATTCTTTATATTTTTCATTAATTAAGTTGTATAAAAATTAGGTTTTCTTATAGTAATATGATAGTTTATTGCTCTATATCAGGAAAATAAACATAAATTTTCTAGTCATTGTACATTGCCCGTAACAGCATGCAACACCAATCACAAAAACATTGATCCAAATATCTGACAAAAACATTTAAAAAATTAAAGCATGATGAATGCGTTTTCGGCTCAATTCGCCTTCATTAAAGCATGATAGAGAGATATTTTATCGAATCAAAGCTTCGAAGAAATGGGGCAACTTTAATATTAAAGTTGCGAGAAAGAAATAGAGGATAGAGGAGAAGCAGAGACACACAGAGAGAGAGAGAGAGAGAGAGAGAGAGAGAGAGAGAGAGAGAGAGAGAGAGAGAGAGAGAGAGAGAGAGAGAGAGAGAGAGAGAGAGAGAGAGAGAGAGAGAGAGAGAGAGAGAGAGAGAGAGAGAGAGAGAGAGAGAGAGAGAGAAAGGGGGTGGAGAAAGAGATAGAGACAAAGAAAAGGACGGGGAGAGACAGGCAGAGACAGATGGACAGTAGGTAGATAGAAGGATAGATGCATGGATAGATAGATGGAGGGCTGCATGAATGAATATATGAAAGTCTGATTGATAGATTGATCGATCGATGGCTTGATAGATAGATGGATACATGGGTGGAAAGATGGACATATAGATGGATCGATAAATGGATGGATAGATAGAAGGATGGTCAGATGGGTGAAAAAATCGATAGATATATAGATAAAAATAGATATATGTATATAGATATCGATAAATCATATTAATAAGTAGATGAATGGATAGCTGGATAGATAGATGGATGGACAGAATAATAGAGGGCTAGATAGATGAGTAGAAATATTGATGGTCAGTAATAGTTAGATAGATGGGTGGATATAAAAATAGATGGACGGATATATAAATGGATGGAAGGATGGGTGAGTAGAGAGAGATAGAAAGATAGATGGATGCACAGATCGATGGATCGATGACAAATAGAGGGATATATGGACATATAGAGGATGGATGAATGGAAAGAAAGATGAATGGATAGACGAATAGATAGATAGGTGGATAAATAGATTTAACGGATAGTGAGTAGATCGATTGACAGAATGATTTAAGGATTGATAGATATATTGATGTGTATAAATCACGAAAGTTAACATGTGATGAAAAATGTGACAGTGTCAGACCACGGAAGAAGAATTGAAACAGGAATTTCCTTAAGTACTTTCGCATTTAATAATACAACTTCTGAAGATGTAATTCAGCCTTCTGAAGATGTATTATTAAATACGAAAGTACTTAAGGAAATTCCTGTTTCAATTCTTCCTCCGTGGTCTAACACTGTCAGATAGATTGATAAATGGATAGATGAATAGATAAATAGATAGATAAATGGATAGATAGGTAGATAAATAGATAGGCTGATGGATAGATAGATAAATAGATGAACAAATAAATATCCCGGGCCGGGATATTCCTGCGCGGGCCCTAAGCCTCTGGCTGGCCTACTAAGTGTTTCTTGTTTCTCTTTCTGCGTTGAACACTGATGTACGGAGAGGGCCAGGTAGTGTTAGTTTGTTTCAAATAAAGTTTTGTAACGAAATATTTTTTCTTTGCAGCAAAGTTATTTCCTCTAATCGTTCTATATATATATTCGTCAAATATAATAGATAACAAAGATAATTACTGGTGTCCATTATATGCATTAGTTTCTATAAAAATAATTGCATGAATACATTCACATTAACAACATAATACAAGAATAATATTATCCTTATGGTTTTATATCTTGATGTCATTTAGCTAGCAAATATAATACAAACATGCAAGAGCATAAATACACTCTGATTACTGACTAGCTTTATATATATATTAATGAAATATAACACATTGACAGATCTTAAAAAACTGTAAAATATATGCTGTTATTAACTCAAACCTTTTTCAGATAATATGTGTTATTTATTTTTAGAATGGTATGTGGTGAGGAGAAGGCTCATGCACTCAATATAAATACTCTTAGTTACAAAACACATAAACCTAAAAACAATGTTGAATAATATTTCTATTTATACCTGCACCTGGCAAACAGTTTCAGCTAACACTAATGCAATATGCGAACATCATAAAGTCAGCGTGTTCAGGTCTTATATACTATGAATTATTCGTATACTTACTGTTTTCTACTGTAATATTCAGGTCTTTTGTTTCTGACTGCGACCTCAGCAAGGCCGGCGAAGACCAAGTCCTGAAGGTTACGTCAGACGGGAGGGGCCACGTCCCGGTGCATATAAAGTCCTGGACACGCGCCTCACCCTCACAGTTGTCTGGCATCTCGGCTTCACCAGTTCTCCAGCTATGGTATGAGTTAATAAAAGGCTGTAGCAAAATAATAAAATAATTTTGCTTAAAAGATTCTCGTAAATGTGTGAAATAACAAAAAATGTACCTTCTTAAGATTTATTAACAGAATTTATTTTATTTCAGCGTTTCCAGGCGTTGATTGTAGCGTTGGCCATGATGGCCAATGTTTGCCAGGGAGGATTAATTGGTGGCCTCGGGGGCCTTGGCGGCCTTGGTGGCCTCGGAGGCCTTGGCGGCCTTGGTGGCCTTGGTGGCCATGGTGGCCTCGGTGGTCTTGGTGGTCTTGGTGGATATGGAGGTGGTTTGGGCGGATATGGTGCTGGCTTGGGTGGTTATGGTGGTTACGGAGGCTATGGTGGAGGGTATAATGGTGGATATGGTAAGCATAAAATCTTTCAGCATAGATATTAAGCTAAAAACATAATGATTGAGAGTTTTGTTGATGTCCAAGAAGACTAATAAAAGTGAATGTGGGCACAGGTAAAGTTATTTGGGCTGAGAGAACAGGTAACTCGCTGTCTGGAATAGCTGTAAAGAGAGGTCAATGAAGATACATAATGTAACTTAAGTATGAGGATAGAGATAAGTTAGTTTGACTATATAACACATGGAAGGTATATGAGAGGACAGGTGCTAGGATATGACGCCCAAGGGTTGAAACGATGATTATCTCTCTTGAACCGTCGGGGGATCATACACGGGCCTGTATGAAGCGAGGCCTTCGCTCTAGCAACCAATTCAAGAAGTCCTTGAAGCGGTCAATCAAAAAAGTTTTAAAAAAGTCGATCAAGTTTTAAAAAAACTCGGACTAATTGACTGAGAAATATATATTGATAAACAAAACATGGAGATAGGTCGGGAGGAAAAGGACCGGTGCTTTGAAAGCTTTGACCATGATGAATTAGATACTAAGTGCGGCGGCTGGAGGCCTACTAGAAGTTATGGCGCTGCCTCTAAGTGCCAGTCATTATGTACGGCTGAGCTGACGCTGTGGTGTGCGCTGTATGAAAGGATATTTTGAGATGCGTTTGTTAAGTTAAGAGAAAAGTTAAATGTATGAAAAAGTCCATCAGGGATGTGGATTATGAAAGTTAGTTTTCGCATACTTAAGATGATTTGGTCATATCGAAGGGATGATTAATAAAAAGAGATATAAATGGGTCTTCGGAAGCTAGTCGTTATGACGCGCTTCTGTGCGGCTCTGAATGTTTTATTACCTGAGCTAGATAGTGGTGCCGTTCACTCTCCTGTCTCCCGGGGCAACGTTTCTCATACCATGATACTTGCAAGTGTGATAATAATGTGATAAAGACTAAATATACCTTTTAGATATTTTGCTCCTATAAGCTCGTATATCAATATTACATTGTTCTGATCACTCCACAGGCGGTGAAGGAGGACACACATTCATACTGAGCAAGAGCTACGGTGAGGCACCAACATTGCTTTATGTTCTTTATATAATGATTGTAACAATATCTTTTGCACAACTCTACACGAATGCGTTTATCAAATCTTTTTATTCATCGTCTAAATTGTCTGCAGGAAGTCACGGAGCCTTTGGCAAGGGCGGCGAACACGGTAAATTTGGCGTGGGCAGACTCGGGGCAGTTGACAAAGGCGGATTCAATAAATTTGGCGCCGGCGGACTCGGTGGGATTGGAAATATTGGTTAGTATGTATTCGTATTTTTGTATTATTTGATTGGAAATATTTTAAACTAGAATAATTATTATCGTGCTAACATATTTTATTATTTATATACTAACAGGTTATGGAAAGTAAGTCAACGGAATCACCTTGTCCTGACGAGGGCCAGAATGTGTTCCTCATTCTTCGTCACGAGGGCCAGAACGTGTTCCTCAGTCCCCGTCACGAGGGCCTGAACGTGTTCCTCAGTCCTCGTTATTACTGGAATAAAGCAACTGAAAAGTTATCACATTTTCTTATTATCACTGATTGTTAATTCCTCTTTGTACTTTTAATGATTCAGAACAAACGAGAAAGAATGAAAAACTTAGAGAAGAATATATGAACAAAAAAAAAAAAACGAAAAGGAAGTATTAAGTGGTGGAAAACATTACATTACATTACATATTTACATTATATTTTTTGGCAAAAAGTTTCATATTTAAGGAATACGCATATAAACCTTACCGTATTCGATTGTTTATTATTAAAATAAATCGGAACTTCTGCCATTATGAATTATATATATATACGAAAAAATTTTATATTTTGAGAGGTGTACTTACACTATTTAGAAGAAATTATGTTTATTTGTCCAAGGTTGGAGGCCAGAAACTTAGAGCTAGCTTCACCCAGCTTTGCAGGTGAAAAATGGTCTAGGGTACAGGACGGACTTTGGTTGGTCGGGGTCTCCAGAATTCAAGACGAAACAGCGTGCCAATCTCATAGTATCTCGCAATGACAGATATTGACACTGCTCGCCATATATGCCTGAGTAACTATTTTAAAAATATATTTGTCAAAACAATTTTTTTCTCTTACATGATGATTAAAGACTATGCAAGTCATATATGTTAATCATGAAAATGAACTGAAAATTAATTTTATGTCATATGTCATTACACTTTGCCAATAACATCATAAAACAGATTATTTCTTATAGTAATATAAAAGTTTATTGTTTTATATCAGAAAAATTAATATATTTTTATTCATTGTAAATTGCCCGTAGCAGTTGCAACAATGATCACAAAAACTGATCCAAATATATGTAAAAAAAAAAAAGACATTTTAAAAATACGAGAACGCTGAATGCGTTTTGGCTCAATCCGCCTTCATCAGAGCAAGATTGAGAGTGAGCTAACTTAGCGAAGTAAATTTTCGAAGAAATGGGGTAACTTTAATTTTCAAACAAAAATATTCTAAATTACCTTTTCTTAAAGAGAGAGATCGCATTGAGGAGAGAGAGAGAGAGAGAGAGAGAGAGAGAGAGAGAGAGAGAGAGAGAGAGAGAGAGAGAGAGAGAGAGAGAGAGAGAGAGAGAGAGAGAGAGAGAGAGAGAGAGGGAGAGAGAGAGGGAGGAGGAGAAGAGAGAGACACAAGAGAAAGAGAGAAGGAGAGAGAGAGAGAGAGAGAGAGATGGACTGTAAATAGATAGAAGGATAGAGGCATGAATAGATGGATAGACTAATTAATAGACGGATAAATCGATGGATAGCTTGATGGATACGTGGGTGAAATGATGAACAGCCAGAAAGATAGATATATGGATGGTTAGATAGATGGATGGATAGATGAGCAGATAAATAGATAGACTGATGGATAGATATATAGATTGACTGATGGATGGATAGATAAATTTATGAACAGATGGGAGATACGTTTTACTCACGTGGCCCCAACATGCGAGGTGATTCGATGAAATGTCTGAACCCTAAAACTGACCACCGAGTGCTGTCGGGGGTTGGGTTAAGGGACTCACGACTTTCAACTTTTTTGTACAGTCAGTATGGTATAGTGGTATAGTAATGGTATCGCTAAGGTGCATGAACCCCTAGGTGTTTGGGGTTCGAATCCTTCAGGGGAGATGAGAATCCTTATATATATATATATATATATATATATATATATATATATATATATATATATATATATATATATATATATATATATATATATATATATATATGCGAACAAGCCTGAATGGTCCCCAGGACAATATGCAACTGAAAACTAGTGACTCGAACCCATACTCCCAGAAGCAACGCAACTGGTATGTACAAGACGCCTTAATCCATGACCATATATATATATATATATATATATATATATATATATATATATATATATATATATATATATATATATATATATATATATATATATATATATATATATATATATATATATATATATATATATATATATATATATATATATATATATATATATATATATACATACATACATACATTTTTTTTTCCTTATTTTTCCTCACGAATAATCAATTCAACACAAAAAATCCATTTGCTCAATTCGTCTTCCAAATATAATTTCGTATAGTCACAAATTAAGTTTTACAAAGTATACTTGCCTACTGGATATAATGCTATGTTTATTCCAACCCGTTCTCCTAACAGAACGTCGCATTTTGACGTATACTTTACCTAAGGCAAAAAATTTTCATACTAGAAAAGGGTAGAGGCTCTCTAAGTTGACATACTGTCCTGACATTTTGTTTTGGGTCCTCTGGAAGGTTAGGTGAGGGCACTTTAGTAAGACAGTTTCTTGACGTTGGGCAAATTAAGGAAGACTTGCTAGGAAGTTAATAACGTAAACACTACTGTTGTTAACCTACGATGTTGACAGGATTAATAAACTCGAAGGCTGACCAGCATGATATGCTAATTGAGGGATAATCTCGGTTCAGAACGATGAAGCAATAAATACAAATGGCAGGTATTATTTCCCGTTACATGTTACATTCTTCCATTGTTACTGATCCATAACGCAGGCGTGGCTGTGAAGTGAACATCCTGAAGGTTACTGTGGGTGGGAGTCATCACCTGTCCTATAAAAGGTCCTGGACTCCCTCCGTCAAGATCACAGTGGACCCGCTCCTCACTCACACAACTCCTGCAACCATGGTGCGAGAAAATACCCTTAGAAAATTTTGTAAAAAAAAAAAAAACGTGTTTTATCAGTTTATCACAAGATCATTCGTTGAACACTGATTCAACTCATTATTTTTTTTTCAGAGATTCCTGTCAGTGACGGCGGTGCTGGCCGTGATGGCTGGTGTTTGCTACGGTGGACTGATTGGTGGCTATGGTGGTCACGGTGGCCTTGGAGGTCTTGGTGGCCTTGGTGGTCTTGGTGGCCTTGGTGGTATTGGTGGCCTTGGTGGTCTTGGAGGTCTTGGAGGTCTTGGTGGTCTTAAAGGCCTTGGTGGTTACGGTGGCGGCGGCGGCGGTTACGGGGGAGGCTTGGGAGGCTTTGGTGGAATTGGCGGCCATGGTGGAGGATTCAAGGGAGGATACGGTAAGAATTGTCTCCTAGATATTATTAGCAATAAATATAACACGTTTGTGGTTATTATGAACTCTGAAACATGTACATGAATTTATTTTTATATGGCTTATATCATCCTCCAGGAAGCCAGGGAGGACACACATTCGTGCTGAGCAAGAGCCACGGTAAGTCACCAACACTTATTTGTGATATTAAATTAGAAAATCGCTGTTCTTTGCACATATCTAAAAAAAAGTGTCACACAAATCATTATATTTGTTTTCCTGTTTCGTTTATAGGAAGTCATGGAGGATTCGGCCTCGGTGGGCTTGGTCAGTTTGGCCTGGGTGGAATTGGCAAAGGTGGATTCGGTAAACTTGGTGGTGGCGGACTCGGTGGAATCGGTCTAGGTGGACTTGGTGGACTTGGTGGACTTGGTTATGGTGGTAAGTGTCTTCACATTTTCCTCAATGAATTATTAGCAGTAATCTTCTGGAAATATTGGGTTAAAGTACGACCGTATTGTAACTGAGATTCGTACAATTACAGGCTACGGGAAGTAAGGCAGCTGGAGTCTTCTTGAGGACCAGTACGACTCTCATCACTTGTACAACTTCAATAAAATTATAAACAGATATTGATACAAACTTCAATAAAATTATAAACAGATATTGAGTTATTTTATTAACCGATTTTTTTTTAAATCTCAGAATGAGGTAATTTGATGGTTAATAATTGAAATATTTTTTGGTTACATTTCTTGAGGTTGTAACTTCGATATTTACTAGAAAGAACAACTGTTTTCTTCAAAATTATCTGTAACACTTCGAGTCTAAATTGGGGTTCTGAATGCAGTTTTGTTTCTTTACAATACATTTACCAGATATTTAAACAATTTAATTGATAATGTTTAGATGTTAATCTGTTACTAAAATGAGATGTGAGACATGACCACTGTAATTGCTTTGTTAGCGCAAACACGAACATCTATCTGAACATCACAATAAATATGTGATATTTATTGTTTAATGGTTTTCTTCTGAAAGAAGTAGATGAAGAGAAACTGTACTCACCAGTTATACTCACCTAGTTGTGCTTGCGGGGGTTGAGTTTAGACTCTTTGATCCCGCCTTTCAACTGTCAATTAACTGGTGTAAATAATATTTATCTTTGAAACTGTGTATGGAGTCTGCCTGCACCACATCACTGCCTAATGCATTCCATTAATTAACTACCCTGACATTGAACAAATTCTGTCTAATGTCTCTGTGGCTCATTTGGGTACTCAGTTTCCACCTGTATCTCCTTGTTCGTGTTCCATCCTGGAACACGAACAAGTTCCACCCTGTCAATTACTCTGAAAATTTTGTAAGTGGTGATCATGTATAACCTTACTCTTCTGTCATCCAGGGACGTGATGTTTAGGTCGTGTAGCCTTTCCTCATAACTCCTACTTCTCAGTTCTGGGAGTAGTCTTGTGGCATAACTCTGAATCTTTCTAAATTTGTCTTGTGTTTAACTAGTTATGGACGTCAGGGGTCAGGGTGGAGCTGCATACTCCAGGATTGGTCTGACATAAGTTTCTAAAGGCAGTTCTTATGTTGGCCAATCTAGCATATGCCGCTGAGGATATCCTTTTGATGTGGGCTTCTGGGGACAGGTTCGGTGTGATAGCAACACCCAGATCATTCTCTCTATTTAACTCTTGTAGGATTTCCCCTCCCAGATGGTTCCTTGTGTTTGGCCTATTGCTCCCTTCACCTAATTTCATTACTTTACACTTACCTGAATTAAACTTTAGTAGTCATTTTCTAGACCATTCCTCCAGTTTGTCGAGGTCGTCCTGTATAGTCTCTGTTTATCTTCACCTGATTTACCTGACTTACCAGAGGGCCACTAACCCTAGTGGCCTATACTAGGACAGGAAGCCGACGACTTGTCGAAGGTCCCCCCATTTGCTTTGATGATCTTTTCCAGGAATATTTTAAAACAACACAGTTTGCGCAGTTACGGCTTTGGCGGGTAGGCGGTTCCATGAGTTTATGGATGAAAAAAATGGTGAAAAAACATCTCCTGTTCTCAGTCCTACATTGTGGCTTGTTGAGCTTGAAACCGTTGCTCCTTCTTTGTGTTACATCTGACCTTCTGAAGATAATATCCAGATCAATATCCACTAACTTGTTCAGTAATTTAAAAGGAGTCAATAAGATCTGCACTGTCATTCCTGGTTTGCAGTGTTGTTAGCCCTGTGGCTTTCAAGCGCTCCTGATATGAGAGATGACTTAGCTCTGGAATGACTTTTGTTGCCCGGTGTTGCACCTTCTCCAGAGCAGCTATGTCTTTCTGAAAATGAGGTCTCCATGCATGGATACAGTAATCCAAATGTAGGCGCACCAGAGATTTATGCAATTGAACTATTACCTTATTTTCCTTAGAGTAAAAAGTACGCTTGATTATCCAAAGAGTTTGGTTAGCATTTCTGACTGCTGCACCCACCTGTTGTGTAACTTTTAATGAGTGGTGGATTTTGACTCAAAGGTCATTTTCTTCATCCATTTTTTGTAATGTAATGCTATTAATTTGGAAGTCGTGGCGTGGGTTGTTATGCCCCACATACAGGGTCTTGCATTTGTTGATATTGAAAAGCATTTGTCAGTTTTCTGACCATTTGTGGAGTTCATGTAGATTTCTTTGTAAGGTTTCAAAATCATTACCATTTCTCACTTAATAATAAATCTTTGTGTTATCTGCAAATTTGATGATGTGGTTTGTAATATTTCCATTTATGTCATCGATGTATATGATAAAAAGGGTTGGCCCCAAAATGGACCCTTGTGGAACCCCACTTACCACACTTCTCCATTTAGATTCGTTTCCCTTAAGCACGACCCTTTGAACAAATCCACAAGGGCCGTGACGAGGGTTCGAACCTTCGTCCGAGATGATCTCAGACGCTGCCTTAATCGACTGAGATACGATATGGTTAAAAGAATTGCAACCGGGAAATCATCCTGATTTACCAACGGATCCTGCAGTCTCTCCGAGACACAAACCAATCAGGATGACAAATCAGGATGATTTGCCGGTTGCAATTCTTTTTAACCATGTCGTAGCTCAGTCGATTAAGGCAGCGTCTGAGATCCTCTCGGACGTAGGATCGAACCCTCGTCAATATATATATATATATATATATATATATATATATATATATATATATATATATATATATATATATATATATATATATATATATATATATATATATATATATATATATATATATATATATATATATATACGAATAATATACGAAAGTACTTAAGGAAATTCTTGTTTCAATTTTCCTCCGTGGTCTGACACTGTCACATTTTTAATCACGTGTTTATTTTTCGTGATTTACACATATATTAGTATATTTTGGTAGCAGTCTTTCTTGTAAACATATGTTGTTGAATATGACCGAAAAGGTAAGATTAATAATTCTAACACGAATCTTCTCAATATTTCTCATGTTTTTCTTCACTGTCGGTTGTAATAAAAATAACAATTCTCCAAAATTCATTTTTTAATTGTCTGACGCCTGAACGCGTTTCGTAATTCGTATTACATTTTTCAAAGACTTAATTTACACACAAATTCTTCGTAATTATACTCTATTGGATTCGGTGATACGGTACAAAAGTTTTGGGTGAGGTGACAAACACAAGACAGCACGAAACAATGGGTATAAATCGGATAAGTGAACATATGAATGGAAGTAACTGCAGAAGGTATATGGGTCCATACTTCCTCTTCCTGCTTCAATATTGGTTCGGGGTCTTGAAGTAGGTAGAATATAGTTGTGCATTAATTGGCTGTTGATTGCTGGTGTTGACTTTTTGATGTGTAGACTACACATCAAAAACGGAAGTGAGAGATGGTGGGGAAGGACGAGGGGACTGGGGAGATTGGGATGGTGGGGACGCAGGAATAGGGGAATGGAGAATAGTGGCGAGGACAAAGGGACAAGGGAGTGGGGCATGGTGGGAAGGAAGAGGGGATGGTGGAGTGGGGAATAGTGGAGTGGGAAATGGTGGAATGGGGAATGGTGGGGAGGCCGAGGGGACGGTGGAGTGGGGAATGGTTGGGAGGCCGAGGAGACGGGTGAGGGGGGAATGGTGGGACAGGGAAGGTTGCCGTGGCTCAGCAATGCACATGCGTTGCTGAGCCACAGAAACGCGTGGCCGGGTACTGCTAGTATATATATATATATATATATATATATATATATATATATATATATATATATATATATATATATATATATATATATATATATATATAGTTATATATATATATATATATATATATATATATATATATCTTATCTTATCCTTATATCTATATGGTGGGTATAGTAAATAGTATATATGATATGAATCGTTAAACAGAAAATTGATATTCAATAACTTCAAATTAGACCCACTTTATTCAAGATGAACTTAAACAAAACATGAATTCTATCTTAAAACAAAGTTGCAAACATAAGAGATGTTAAAAAAGTTAGCACTATTGAGTTTTTAATTATCTTAGTTCGTGTATTGCAATAATATTGTCAATAAAAGACACAGTATCATTTAAACTATTTATTGAAGAGGTACAAGTGACGAGAGTTGTGCTGGTCCTCAGTGCTAGGAAACTCCAGCTGCCTTACTTCCCGTAGCCTGGAATTGAACAATCTCAGTTACATTATGGTCGCATTTTAACCCAATATTTTCAGAAGAGTATTACCAATTATTCAAAAGAGAAATAGTAAGACACTTACCACCATGACCAAGTCCACCAAGACCTATTCCTCCGAGTCCACCACCACCGCCAAATTTATTGTATCCGCCTTTGCCAAATCCACCGGCTCCTCCCAGGCCAAATTGACCTTGTCCACCATGTCCAAATCCTCCATGGCTTCCTGTAAACAAAAAAAGAGAAGCATTAGAAAAACCTGTGTAACCTTTTCTTAAGATATGTGAAAGATAAAAGGATTCTCATATGAAATAGCGTCAGTGAGTGTTGGTTACTTACCGTGGCTCTTGCTCAGCACGAATGTGTGACCTCCCTGGCCTCCTGTGGGGATAATTCGAGCTATATTGCAAATATATTTATTTACATGTTCAATTATTCAGTATAGCAAAATAATGTTCATTATTTTTGGTAATTATTCCAAATTATGCTTACCGTATCCTCCTTTGAGACCCCCACCATGGCCTCCAAAGCCACCGAAACCTTCCAAGCCTCCCCCATAACCGCTGCCGCCACCGTAGCCACCATAACCACCAAGGCCTTTAAGGCCACCGTGACCACCAAGGCCTTTAAGGCCACCAAGACCACCAAGAGCTCCAAGACCTCCAAGACCACCAAGGCCTTTAAGGCCACCAAGACCACCAAGACCTCCAAGACCACCAAGGCCTCCATATCCACCAAGACCACCAAGGCCTCCATGGCCACCAAGACCACCAAGGCCTCCATGTCCACCAAGACCTCCAAGGCCACCGTGACCACCATAGCCACCAATCAGTCCACCATAGCAAACACCAGCCATCACGGCCAGCACCGCTGTCACTGACAGGAATCTCTGAAAAAATAGTGAGTTCAATTAATGTTCAACGAATGATCTTGTGTAATAACTGATAAAACACTTTTTACAAAATTTTCTGAATGTATTTTCTCGCACCATGGTTGCAGGAGTTGTGTGAGTGAGGAGCGGGTCCACTGTGATCTTGACGGAGGGACTCCAGGATCTTATATAGGACAAATGATGACTCCCGCCCACAGTAACCTTCAGGATGTGCACTTCGCAGCCACGCCTACGTTTGAGAATGTAACAAAGTGGTAATTTAACATATAACGCGAAATATTAGGTGTCATTTGTATTCATTATATATGGTTGCTAACAACAGAGTAAAGCTTTCCTAAAGCTCATCATAATAGTTAATTTGTAGGTTATGTTGCTACTAACAAAGCCTAATTAATACCCAACATAAAGCATTAGGTCTTATGTGGGCATCCAGATATTAACAATGCTTAACAGTCGAGATGTGAGTTACCAAGCTGATACCACTGCTTAGCGGATAACAAGTTGGTTATACTGCTTTTAACATGGCTTAATAAATTATTTGGCAAGTTTTGATATTAACAGAGCATGTTAGCTAACAAGTGGGTTATCGTGTTATCATCATAGAAAGGTACACAGCATAATTGGTTATCCTGTTATTATTTTAGTATGATAGCCAACAATTGGGTTCTCTTGTTGTGAACAGCGTTACAAATACTAAATATTTTTTTTTTGCTTGATTATCAACGAGTTATTCATCCTTGGAATAAAATAGCGTGATATCCGTAAAGAGGGTTTTCACGTTATTAATATAGCATGATAGCAGCAAGTGGATTATTCTGTAATAAATATATCACTAAATAGGCATCAAAACAGAGTGGGAATGCGAGATTAAAGATATGAAAAAAATATTTGGAAAACAATAAGCTATATTGTTGAGAAGAAAGGCAATGTAGCAGTGAGCCCTAGGGAAGTATTAACGAAAATGAAAAAAGAAAGACATGAATATCATAGGTTTCGAAGTCAGGAAAGTGAAGCAAATGTGAACATTATGGGATAAGATCTTGTAAGAAGTATGCAACGATGCTACCTTCTGACATTTATAGAAAAGATGGGTACATCAGGTGAAGGGAGGGAAAGCTGCAAGTGTCAATGAGACATATGATGATAATATTAAATATAAGAAGGTAAAAGGAGACGAGTAGGGGTGTGTAGAGTTTACCAGTGTACGTCAGACAGTGATACACTACAAGAGGATATATGGAGAGAAGTGTGTACCTGAATACAAACCAAGGTGAATATAGTAAAAGTTACAATTATATACCCGTTAGTTTACCACGCGAACTGACTAATGTGTCTGGCAGAGGTGCAGTACGAAGTGTGCAATAAATTACGGTTAATTTCATCAATGGTGAGTTTTATGGTGAAAGAAGAAGTGTGGGTCAGGCTTTTGCATTGAAACAGAGTGTTGATATTTTTATTACCACCGAGAGTGAAGAAAAACATAAGAAATATTGAGATGATTCGTGTTAGAATTATTAATCTTACCTTTTCGGTCATATTCAACAACACATACTCACATGTATATATATATATATATATATATATATATATATATATATATATATATATATATATATATATATATATATATATATAGAGAGAGAGAGAGAGAGAGAGAGAGAGAGAGAGAGAGAGAGAGAGAGAGAGAGAGTACAGAGAGAGTGTGTGTATATATATATATATATATATATATATATATATATATATATATATATATATATATATATATATATATATATATATATATATATATAACACATTAGTCAGTTCGCGTGGTAAACTAACGGGTATATAATTGTAACTTTTACTATATTCACCATGGTTTGTATTCAGGTACACACTTCTCTTCATATATCCTCTTGTAGTGTATCACTGTCTGACGTACACTGGTAAACTCTACACACCCCCTACTCGTCTCCTTTTTCCTTCTTATATTTAATATTATCATCATATGTCTCATTGACACTTGCAGCTTTCCCTACCTTCACCTGATGTACCCATCTTTTCTATAAATGTCAGAAGGTAGCATCGTTGCATACTTCTTACAAGATCATCGTTCACATTTGCTTCACTTTCATGACTTCGAAACCTATGATATTCATGTCTTTCTTTTTATTTTCGGGCTCACTGCTACATTGCCTTTCTTCTCAACAATATAGCTTATTGTTTTCCAAATATTTTTTTTCAAATCTTTAATCTCGCATTCCTACTCTGTTTTGATGCCTATTTATGATATATTTATTACAGAATAATCCACTTGCTGCTATCATGCTATATTAATAACGTGAAAACCCTCTTTACGGATATCACGCTATTTTATTCCAAGGATGAATAACTAGTTGATAATCAAGCAAATAAAAAATATTTAGTATTTGTAATGCTGTTCACAACAAGATAACTCAATTGTTGGCTATCATACTAAAATAATAACAGGATAACCAATTATGCTGTGTACCTTTCTATGATGATAACACGATAACCCACTTGTTAGCTAACATGCTCTGTTAATATCAAAACTTGCCAAATAATTTATTAAGCCATGTTAAAAGCAGTATAACCAACTTGTTATTCGCTAAGCAGTGGTATCAGCTTGATAACTCAAATCTCGGCTGTTAATCATTGTTAATATCTGGATGCCGACATAAGACATGCTTTATGTTGGGTATTAAGCTTTGTTAGTAGCAGCATAACCTACAAATTAACTATTATGATGAGCTAATCACAGGAAAGCTTTACTCTGTTGTTAGCAACCATATATAATGAATACAAATGACACCTATTACTTCGCGTTACATGTTAAATTACCACTTTGTTACACTCTCAAACGTAGGCGTGGCTGCGAAGTGCACATCCTGAAGGTTACTGTGGGCGGGAGTCATCATTTGTCCTATATAAGGTCCTGGACTCCCTCCGTCAAGATCACAGTGGACCCGCTCCTCACTCACACAACTCCTGCAACCATGGTGCGAGAAAATACATTTGGAAAATTTTGTAAAAAGTGTTTTATCAGTTATTACACAAGATCATTCGTTGAACATTAATTGAACTCACTATTTTTTCAGAGATTCCTGTCAGTGACAGCGGTGCTGGCCGTGATGGCTGGTGTTTGCTATGGTGGACTGATTGGTGGCTATGGTGGTCACGGTGGCCTTGGTGGACATGGAGGCCTTGGTGGTCTTGGTGGACATGGAGGCCTTGGTGGTCTTGGAGGTCTTGGAGGTCTTGGTGGTCTTGGTGGCCTTAAAGGCCTTGGTGGTCTTGGAGGTCTTGGAGCTCTTGGTGGTCTTGGTGGCCTTAAAGGCCTTGGTGGTCTTGGAGGTCTTGGTGGTCACGGTGGCCTTAAAGGCCTTGGTGGTTATGGTGGCTACGGTGGCGGCAGCGGTTATGGGGGAGGCTTGGAAGGTTTCGGTGGCTTTGGAGGCCATGGTGGGGGTCTCAAAGGAGGATACGGTAAGCATAATGTGGAATAATTACCAAAAATATTGAACATTATTTTGCTATACTGAATAATTGAACATGTAAATATATATATTTTCAATATAGCTCGAATTATCCCACAGGAGGCCAGGGAGGTCACACATTCGTGCTGAGCAAGAGCCACGGTAAGTCACCAACACTCACTGACGATATTCTACATGAGAATCATTTTATCTTTCACATATCTTAAGAAAAAGTTATACAGGTCGTCAATGCTTCTCTTTTTTTGTTTACAGGAAGCCATGGAGGATTTGGACATGGTGGACAAGGTCAGTTTGGCCTGGGAGGAGCCGGTGGATTTGGCAAAGGCGGATACAATAAATTTGGCGGTGGTGGTGGACTCGGAGGAATAGGTCTTGGTGGACTTGGTCATGGTGGTAAGTGTCTTACTATTTCTCTTATGAATAATTGGTAATACTCTTCTGAAAATATTGGGTTAAAATGCGACCATAATGTAACTGAGATTGTTCAATTCCAGGCTACGGGAAGTAAGGCAGCTGGAGTCTCCTAGCACTGAGGACCAGCACAACTCTCGTCACTTGTACCTCTTCAATAAATAGTTTAAATGATACTGTGTCATTTTATTGACAATATTATTGCTATACACGAACTAAGATAATTAAGAACTCAATAGTGAAAACTTTTTTAACATCTCTTATGTTTGCAACTTTGTTTTAAGATAGAATTCATGTTTTGTTTAAGTTCACCTGGAATAAAGTGGGTCTAATTTGAAGTTATTGAATGTCAATTTTCTGTTTAACGATGCGTTTTCGAGATGTTAAAACAAAATTAAATAATTATATTTAGTCGATATCCTGTTACTAAAACGAGATTTCAGAGATATGAGCAATGTATACTTTGTGTTAGCTTAAACAAATAACTGCTAGATGGTGTTGAGATTGCGAAGTCTGATTTCGAAAAGGATCTGGGAGTTATGATTAGTAAGACTTTAAAACCAAAAAAGCAATGCATTTGATACAAAATAGACAAGCTGCTTAACGTTAGAATTAGTGAAACTCTGTTAAGTGTTTTCAGGTTACAAGTTGTGTGTGTGTAAACTGGAGTCTTTGAAAATGTACTACATTATTACAAAACGCGTTGAAGCGTCGCGTCAGACTAGAAATAAAAATGAATTTTGGAGAATTGATTTCTCAATTACCATCGACAGTAAAAAAGAAACATAAGAAATATTGAGAAAATTCGTGTTAGAATTATTAATCTTACTTTTTCGGTCATATTTCGGGAATCTAAATTTTAAGATGAATAGGAAAACCAGGGATATACTGAACATCTTGTTTTAGATTCTTTACTTTAAAATGCATAACGTTTCGAATACCTCTCGTATTCATCATCAGATCTAAAAGAAAAAACAGAAATCGCAATCAAATAACTGGTAAACAAAGAACTCGTACTGAATACAATTGCCTATCAAAGAAAGGAAAATGATTAAAAACAAAACACTTAAGCTTACTTAAAGTGATCAATACAAATAAAACTTATTAACTGTCACTTAGATAAAAGCTAATTAAAAAATCCATTAAATTACAAGAAGAATTTTATAATTACTAAAACAAACCATACTAAACTTACGCGAAGTGATCAACAGGAGTGAATTAAACTTGATAGCTAACTCATAGATACTAAACACTATTACAAATATTCATATAATGACTACAAATCTACAAAAAATGTATATAAAATGGAAGCAGAATAAGCGACAATTATAAAGTACTAACCAAAATCTTATAAAAACTAAAATATTAATAAAATCTAAATACCAAAAAATTTATTATATATCCTAAATAAAAAGATTATAATAATATAAATTTGTCAAGACTTAACATAAGTTAGAAAAGGCAAAGACATGGTAAACTAAACAAAATTATAATAAAATTAAACTGCCAGAATGAACTATAAATCAAATTACAGGTCCTACTGTGCACTATATAGTGTACAATTGAACAGCCGAAATGTTGCTATTTAACCGAGGCTGCAGTTCCTTTATATATAAGGATTCCATTACTCTCAAATCTGACTGGCCATTCATACAAGTGTCCAGAATTTTAAAATCAGATTCCAGCAGAGAATGATTAAACTCATAACAATGGTTTCTAATCTCCGAAAATGCTGGTTTAGACAATGGTAATCCAGTCCTAAAAGGTACTCCCCGGTGCTAAGTATCCTAATCTGAAAGTTCCGAATGGAACTTCCGATATATCCAGCATTACAGCTGGAACAATTATACACATATACGACATTAGAGCACAGGGGGGCAGGCACTTTATCTTTAAATTTAAAATAAGAGCCTATGGTATTTGTGTTGAACAAAATAAATCTAAAGTCTACTTGAGGATAACAATGCTGTAACAGTTTCCTCAAACGACTCCTTACAGAAAAACTAATAGGCCATACAATGGTAATATAATATATTTAGTATCCCTTTCTACTGTAGTAATCCTACTCGATGGGTGAAACTTCTTATTTAAGAAATTCCTTATAAAGGTATAAACCATATGCAAAGGATAACCATTATTTGAAAAAAAAACACAAGAAAATTAATTTCTTGATCAAAGTTATTCCAATTTGAACATAAAGCAAAGGCTCTATTCAGTAGAGTATTAATTGCATTTTTCTTAAAAATATCAGGAACAAAAGAATTAAAATTTAAACCTAAAACAGTAAAAATTTGGTTTTCTAAAAACATTAGTGTTGAACCCATTAAGGTTATTCACGTTGACATCAAGAAATGACAATGAATTATCCACTTCACACTCTGCAGTGAAACGTATATTACTATGTTGTGCATTAAGATACTCTCTAAATTTCTCAATATGACATTGGTCCTTAAATAACAAAAAAGTGTCATTTCCATATCTCCTGTACAAGACTGGTTTAAAGTCCAAAGTACATTTATCAAGCCAATTTATTTCATGAAAATTCAAAAAAGCATTAGCAAGTGCAGGACCTAAGGGAGACCACATTGCTACTCCATCAATGTGTTTATAATATATATTATTAAACATAAAGACAGAGTCTTTAACCGCTAATTTTAACAACCGTCTGAACATTTTACTACAAAATCCAGACACTAAATTAGTATCAGCAAATAACTGATTAACACAAATATCAATGGTTTCCAACAAAGGAATATTAGTAAAGAGTGATTCAACATCGAAACTAGCCATTATAGTTGGGAACTCAAAATTTAAAGAGGAAAGTTTCTTTACAAAATCCTGAGAATTTCTCACAGTAAATTCATTATGCGTTAACGGTTCTAATAATGGAACCAGAAACTTTGCCAGTTTGTAATTAAAAGTGCCAATCGCTGATAAAATAAGACGAATTGGTATACCTGTTTTATGAACTTTAGGTAACCCTTATAAGATGCCTGGCTTAGAGCCAGTTGCAAGCAATTTTGTATAATCAAAAAGAAAGTCTTTCAGACCTCTTAAAACTCTATTTAGTTTATCCTCACATTTCAAAATATATGAAAAGGGGTCTATATCAACCAACTTAAATTTAGAGGGGTCTTCTAACAACCTTTCAACCTTATTTACATAATCTAACTTGTCCAAAACCACTATACCCCTACCTTTATCTGGTCTTGTAATACAAATACTGCTATCATTCTTTCAGCCATTAATACAATCTAATTTCCTTTTATCAAATGGAGGGAATATAGATTTATATTTAACGAAGTCATTAAAGACTTCATGTGCTAAGGAAGAAACAGTACTGATATTGGTCCAACTATAATTTGTACCAGTCCTTTGGGTGCAAGTTTTCAATGTATTACATAACCGCTCAAAACCTAAACAATTATTAACAAATTTAGGTTTTTTACACGTCAAGCCGAAGTCTAACCCCAGAGAGAAAGTTCTTTCTCGATGGGAGACAAAATTCTCTTTGAAAAATTAAAAACTACCTTATCAGGGTCCACCGAATTAAATGAAGGTATACCCAAGTTCCGCATTTTTTCCCCGTGAATAAGTCTACATTTTTCAACCCTTTTTTCATTATAATTTTCATATATACATTTTAAGGATGCAAAATCAACCCAGGAAACCATGATCTTGAATTTCTCCAAGTTCACATGCAATTCACTTTTCAACTCATTTACCCGCTTCTGCTTTTCAGAAATTTCAAAGTTCAACAATCTTAATAACCATGAATTATATTCACTTGTTAACGCAAATTTGTCGGAATACACTTTAAACCTAAGGAATCTTGGGACCAAACGATGCACCTTACAGGTTTGTAGAAATTCCAAATCCAAGTGAGCCTTCTTAACTGCGAAATCCACTTTTAATATTCTTCTGTATAAAGTCCCTACAGGTCTTCCGTATCGTTTTAATAAAATATTTATGATCGATGTTCCCTTCGGGAATCTTAATTTTAAGATGAATAGGAAAACCAGGGATATACTGAACATCTTGTTTCAGATTCTTTACTTTAAAATGCATAACGTTTCGAATACTTCTCGTATTCATCATCAGATCTAAAAGAAAAAACAGAAATCACAATCATATAACTGGTAAACAAAGAACTCATACTGAATACAATTGCCTATCAAAGAAAGGAAAATTATTAAAAAACAAAACACTTAAGCTTACTTAAAGTGATCAATACAAATAAAACTTATTAACTGTCACATAGATAAAAGCTAATTCAAAAATCCATTAAATTACAAGAGGAATTTTATAACTACTAAAACAAACCATTCTATTAAACTTACGCGAAGTGATCAACAGGAGTGAAACTTGTTAGCTAACACATAGATACTAAACACAATTACAAATATTCATATAATGACTACAAATCTACAAAAAATGTATATAAAATGCAAGCAGAATAAGCGACAATTATAAAGTACTAACCAAGATGGATGAATGAATGGTTGTATGAATGGACAGTCAGATTTGAGAGTAATGGAATCCTTATATATAAAGGAGCTGCGGCCTCTGTTAAATAGCAACCTTTCGGCTGTTCAATTGTACACTGTATAGTGTACAGTAGGACCTGTAATTTGATTTATAGTTCATTCTGGCAGTTTAGTTTTATTATAATTTTGTTTAGTTTACCATGTCTTTGTCTTTTCTTACTTATTTTAGGTCTTGACATTGTTCATTATTATAATCGTTTTATGTAGGATATATAATACATTTTTTGGTATTTAGATTTGTTTAATATTTGAGTTTTCATAAGATTTGGGTTAGTACTTTATAATTGTCGCTTATTCTGCTTGCATTTTATATACATTTTTTGTAGATTTGTAGTCATTATATGAATATTTGTAATAGTGTTTAGTATCTTTGGGTTAGCTATCAAGTTTAATTCACTCCTGTTAACCACTTCGCATAAGTTTAATAGTTATTAAATTCCTCTTGTAATATAATGGATTTTTGAATTAGCTTTTATCTATGTGACAGTTAATAAGTTTTATTTGTATTGATCACTTTAAGTAAGCTTAAGTGATTTGTTTTTTAATAATTTTCCTTTCTTTGACAGGCAATTGTATTCAGTTTGAGTTCTTTGTTTACCAGTTATTTGATTGTGATTTCTGTTTTCTTTTAGATCTGATGATGAATACGAGAAGTATTCGAAACGTTATGCATTTTAAAGTAAATAATCTGAAACAAGATGTTCAGTATATCCCTGGTTTTCCTATTCGTCTAAAATTATATATATATATATATATATATATATATATATATATATATATATATATATATATATATATATATATATATATATATATATATATATACAACAACGATCTCAAAAACACTGATCCAAGTATGCGGACAACCCACATTAGAAAAATTTGCCAAATTAATAGCTAGGTTCAGAAAGGTGTTGACAGGTTGAGAAATATATAGTTGAGTAGAAAAAGTTCTGGCTGAGTCGAGACAGGTGTAGCTATTGAGAAATGTGTTTCTGGGTTAAGAAATGTGTTGCTGGTTTTAGAAAGTGTTATTGAGTTGAAAAGGGTGCTACTTGGTTGAGAAAGGTGTGGTTGGGATGAGAAAGGTGTGCTTTGGTTGCGAAAGGTGTTACTAGGTTGGGAAATGTGTTAATAGGGTATGAAAATTATTACTGGCTTGAGAAAGGTGTTGCTGGGTTGGGTAAGATTTTCATATGTTTTGAACGGTGATGCTGGGTGGACAAAAGTATTGCGTTGCTGGGCTGGGAATGGTGTTGATGAGTTGAGAAAGGTGTTAGTGAGTTGAGAAAAATACAGCTGTATACATAAAGAGTATACTTGAGTTAAGAGACGGGTATAAAAAAGTTCAAGTATAAACGTTCAGACGAGTTTAAAAAAAATTACTAGTTCAAAAAGATTTGGAACGATAGCTTTCCCTGGTTTTTGGAGACTCATCAGTATTATCAGAGAGGGACAGCTCTGTTCTGAGGCTTGATGAGTATTCAGATCATTAATTAGTTCATACATGTTATTGTCTGATTGCATTCTACATGAAGTTCAAATAATTTCAATTTACTCATATTTCTTGTTGTTGGGGTTGTGACTTAATTTTTTTTAAAGCGATGCGTTAGTTATCACATGAGTGCTAATCTTGGCCCACTTTCATCACTCAAGTGTTCCCACAATCTGGATAAGTGTCTCTGCGTGGTAGCTGTGGCAGACACCCCCCGTGCATGACAAGTACTGCTGCTTCCTCATCACCAACACCCTACTAGCCAATTACAGGTCACTCCAGTACACTTGTAGGGTATACTCACCTTACCAGCTCACTCTATCAGCTAATTACACTTGTGATTTACTGTTATCACTTACCAACCAACCACATTAATTTCATTTGCCTTCATCCCGTACGGCAGACCATTAGGAATACAGAGTGAAGCGTCCATAACACTTCAATCAGTCTCTCCTCTCTGAATACAACTAAAACTAGCATGAAACACACAAAAAGTGACAGGAGCAATGACAGAATGACGCTCATGTAATCTTTACAGCAAAAATATTAAGATGAAGTGGTAGTGACACAGTCAAAATGGAATTTACAATAATTAGAGTAAAAATATGTTATTATTTATGAGTTCTTTTATTACAGAGTGTGAGACGAGTGATGAGGACGACCGTGAGGGAGAGTGTAGACGCATCGCTTCCCGTACCCTATAGTGGTAAATTATATTAAACAATATAGTCGAATTTTAATCCACATTATTTTTCTTAATTAGTATTAGCTGTTCAAATAATGAACAAAACACGAAAAGACAATAATATGGATAATACAATATACGTCTATACAAAACACGACACGATACTAACCAAAATGGTTAATTGCACAACATTCGCCCAGGCAGAACCTGTTACTTCTGACATAGCAATGTCCTCCTTGGATACCTGAAAACAAAACACATGGAGGATAAGAACGACTTACGTGATGTCTTAGTATCGTACGTTTGTGCTAAAGATGTAGTTAGTCGTCATACAAACAGCATAATTAGATATTATTATCTTACCTTGGATCCTGCTCAGTGCGAATGTCTGTCATCTCTGGCTTCCTGTGGAATATTAAAGGTATGCTCACAAATCGTTCAGGAAACCATAATGTGAAATATTATTATTATATTTGCAAATGTTGCCATAACGCTTCAGAGATATCAAATCCTCGATTATACTTTCTCCCATAAACCTCCAGAGAACCATAACACTATCAGACAACACGGTAGTATAACCTCTCACATTCATTAAACCTGGCAACCCATCAGTATCAAAACCAATTAATCTACCATTGACAAACGCCATTAATCAGTGCCAACACTACCATCACTGGAAGTAAAGCTTCACATATATATATTTTACTTCTTATATTACATAATAAATATGTAACACAGATCTTGGACGGCAAAGCAACAGTTTACGAATAGATCAGCAAGTGTGTACTCGTCTCATGACTGTAGAGGTTCTGTTATTGAGGATCGAGGGAAGGTGTTCAGGGCCTTATATAAGCCGGCTGGCTACACTCGCTCCACCTAACCTTGGGGACGAGGACATCGCTGGCCTCGCTGTTGTTTGAGTCAGGAGCAAAACACCTGAATGACATGCATTGAGCGACAGTAAATGTTATGAATATTCAAAGTCCATGAAGGCCAACACGCGTAGGTTATCCTGTTGCTGGCACATATCAACAGATATTACAAGTGAGTTATCCTGTTGCTAACACATATCAACAGATATCACAAGTGAGTTATCCTGTTGCTGACACATCTCACTGGAGATCTTTCGTTGGAATGTACATAAGGAGTGGAACATGTTGTTTAATTAAATATTCAATAATAAAAATAATGATAATAAAAGATTTTACAATAAAGCATAATTTTTGAGTAATTAATGAAATTCATGTATGCTTGAGATCATATATAGTAAAACTGAGAGGTGGTACCCATGTATCTGTCCGTCTCTCTCTCTCTCTCTCTCTCTCTCTCTCTCTCTCTCTCTCTCTCTCTCTCTCTCTCTCTCTCTCTCTCTCTCTCTCTCTCTCTCTCTCTCTCTCTCTCTCTCTCTCTCTCTCTCTCTCTCTCTCTCTCTCTCTCTCTCTATCTATCTTCCATTCTGCTTCCCATCCCATTCTCCCCACCTACCATTCTTCCTCCATACCTCACAGTCTCCCACCCTTCTTCCCATTCTCTCTCCTTTTATTCCTCCAGTGTTCTCTCTACGAGTAAGTAAACCATGCTCGCATGCTTAAAACATGCTTGAATGAAGATCAACGCTATCGACTTTGAATAATCGTTAACGACACTCATTCAACGTAATCAACGTTATTGATTGACCGCCAACGTGATCAACGGTGATTCAACGTCAAAAACAGCGTCGAGAATTTGGAGGGAAGAGCACTATGGGCAACCAAACACTCATATCAGACCTAACATAAGGCACTAGTTATCGCAGTAGCGATCAGTTCCACTTGAAGACGGGCGCGGGAGTCGACCCCAACCATTCCATGACACTTATCTTACAATTAGAGTTTTTCTATTGAAAGTTCCGTGAGGCTAACCCCAGCAATCTGGCCTCCAGCCTTGAACAGACAGACAAACAGACAAACAGACAGACAGACAGACAGACAGACAGACAGACAGACAGACAGACAGACAGACAGACAGACAGACAGACAGACAGACAGACAGACAGACAGACAGACAGACAGACAGACAGACAGACAGACAGACAGACAGACAGACAGACAGACAGACAGACAGACAGACAGACAGACAGACAGACAGACAGACAGACATTCTCTCTCATCAATATGGATTATCAGTGGGTACAGTCGAACAAAAAGTAGAAACAATCCTACAATTCATAAAGCAACAAATGAAAATGTATTTGCTTCCGGAAGACAAATATTTCAAAATAAATGGCCAAAACTAGTGCAGAACTCAACCTTAAGCCGCTTCGTCCAGTTTCTTACACCACGCTCTGATGAAGGGTGCTACAGGTTCACTACCAGTACATGTTTACTGTGATGAAGGGTGCTACAGGTTCACTACCAGTGCATGTTTACTGTGATGAAGGGTGCTACAGGTTCACTACCGGTACATGTTTACTGTGATGAAGGGTGCTACAGGATGTTTACTGTGATGAAGGGTGCTACAGGTTCACTACCAGTACATGTTTACTGTGAGAAGGGTGCTACAGGTTACACTGTGATAGGGTGCTGCAGGTTCACTACCAGTACATGTTTACTGTGATGAAGGGTGCTACAGGTTCACTACCAGTACATGTTTACTGTGATGAAGGGTGCTGCAGGTTCACTACCGGTACATGTTTACTGTGATGAAGGGTGCTACAGGTTCACTACCAGTACATGTTTACTGTGATGAAGGGTGCTACAGGTTCACTTACAGGTAAGCTTCAAGCACAGGATGGACAAGTTCATTCGTTAAGGTTCTGCATTTCCTGTAAATAGCAAATGTCTCTCAGGAGCAAAGAGCCCCCCCTTCAGTTTCCTTAAATCTTACATTCTTAGGGTCATATATATTGTTGCTACGTTGATATTATCGCCGTTTGTGTGCCAGAAGAACTACCACATCATTCTACGACAGAGAATACAGCAGAAGACCATTTAGAAATTCGCTTTCGAAATAAGTGTTAATTATCGTATCCTCTTCCACGTCATTCACGTTACATTCCAGGAACGTTTCAGCACCGCCTTTTACAGAAAGCCAGAGACTATCGGAAACTTCTCACTGATGTTAGTGAGGGTGTGATTTATCCGAATCTCCGCTGGGCCCAGAGAACTTTGACTATGTGCAATTATTTAACCATGAAGTTAACAGAGTTGAGCAAAGGTCTTTTAAAAAACAGTGACAGTGATATATATATATATATATATATATATATATAAATCTGCTGATATATATATATATATATATATATATATATATATATATATATATATATATATATATATATATATATATATATATATATATATATATATATATATATATATATATCCAACAACTTTTCTCTAAATCAGAGATTTCCAACCTTTCTTGTTTGGAGGATGCGTTAAATGAAGCTATAAATGTTTCATCAAATCCCAAGATAAAAACTCGGGCTGTGACATATTAGGTTTAACAGGGGATACATTTTCAGGTAGACGTACAAACCATTATATTTAATAAATTATTACAAAATTCATACTTTTGAGTAAAATATTTTAAGAGTAATGTCTATTTCTATTTCTTAAGTATTGTAAATAAAAATTTAATATTTTCACTCGAACGTTACAAACGAAAATTGTGTATATAATTTGTAATATTTTTGTTAATATAATTGCTATTTATGATATTATTAACGAAACACGTTACTAGAATATGTAACGTACATGTAACGAGTAATAGAATATGCAGAGTTCTAGCATGTGGAGAGTGCTGGTATATGGAGAGTGCTACAATATGTAGGATGCTTTAATGTGGAGCGTACTAGCATGTGGAGAGTGATAGCACGTGGAGAGTGCCACAATTTGCAGGGTGCTAGCATGTGGAGAGTGCCACAATATGTAGGATGCTAGCATGTGGAGAGTGCCACAGTATGTTGGGTGCTACAATATGGTGAGTGCTACAATATGGTGAGTGCTACAATATGTTGGGTGCTACAATATGTTAGGTGCTACAATATGTTGGGTGCTACAATATGTTAGGTGCTAGCATGTGGAGAGTGCCAGATTGAGGAAAATACTAAAAACTGCCGTGACCTTGGTAAGGTGGATCTCCACACCATTCCACTTGTGAGATTAATTGTTAAAGTAAAGCTTATGACACTTAAGATCAAGTATGACATTTAGTTTGGGACAATTAATATATAAACCACCATACAAGTGACGTAAGGAAAGTAAAGATTGAGAAAGAGCCTTCAGAAGCGATGTACCTCAAGTTCGTGTCCTGGTACCATTATTATATATAATAAAACCCGATGATAATATTTAGGAGAAAATAAAAGAATATATATTAACGTGATATTTCTAAAACAAGCACAGTAAGAAGTTTTTTACCTCAGAGGAAGTGTGTGTGGGAAACTGCGGTGCAGGAAATATCAATAAATATAAAGTCCGGAAGCAGACTTATGTAGGTCAACGTTGACAAGTGTTCATATGTTAGTTCGGGAATAGAAAGTGTCACTAGATATCTGCTTATTAATGTAGATATTATTAAATAGTGCTGCGAAATGGATCAGTTAGTTATGATTTAAACCGAAAATAGTTTTGTATTAATTGATCGAAATCTTGATAAAAGGTAATTATCATTTTGACCAAAAGCGCTAGATATATGAATGCAACGAAGCTGTAACTCGGATTATACTTTGCAGTTTAGGTTACCGTAGTATGCAATACCCGCAGTTTAGGTTAGCGTAGTATACAATACCCGCAGTTTAGGTTACAGTAGTATACAATACCTGCAGTTTAACTCGAAAACACATAACAAGAATAATTAAATAATTAAATAATTAAAAGTATTGCTCGTATGTTGTTTAAATACTTTAGTAATCTGTGAAGATTTCTTGCCGAGTTGTAAAATACTTTAATAAGCTGTGAAGATTTCTTTCTAAGTTGTAAAATACTTTAGTAATCTGTGAAGATTTCTTGCCGAGTTGTAAAATACTTTAGTAAGCTGTGAAGATTTCTTTCTAAGTTGTAAAATACTTTAGTAATCTGTGAAGATTTCTTGCCGAGTTGTATAAATACTTTAGTAAGCTGTGAATATTTCTTTCTAAGTTGTAAAATACTTTAGTAATCTGTGAAGATTTCTTGCCGAGTTGTAAAATACTTTAGTAAGCTGTGAAGATTTCTTTCTAAGTTGTAAAAACTTTAGTAATCTTTCTTAGAGTTGTAAAATACTTTAGTAATCTGTGAAGATTTCTTGCCGAGTTGTAAAATACTTTAGTAATCTGTGAAGATTTCTTGCAGAGTTGTATAAATACTTTAGAAAGCTGTGAAGAATTCTGGTTAATTTGCATTATCAATTTGGTAAGCTGTAGAAGAACAGAAATATGAGGCAAAACTATGTATTACACTTATGAAACGCCTAGCACGAGCTGGTAAGAACTTAAGAATAACGGAAACTACAGAAGATCAATTTGCCCATACAATGAATATTCTATTCATCGAAACTCATTCATATATATTTTAACCCACACTTGAAATAAGCCAGCGATTCCACGTCTATTATGTTACCCGGTAATTTGTTCCATAAATCTAAACCCTAATTCCACACCAGTATTTACATACACATATCTCACCTAACTCTAAAGTTATCTAATTGTGTCCCATTGTGTAGTGTCCTATTTTGAATTTCGTGTTCTATTTTGTTTCGTGTTCTAAGTTAGGTAGAAATTTAATTTTCTCCTACGTTGTTCTTATTGAGACTCTTGGACGCAAATAACACTTTTGTACTTAATGAGGACACTATCATAGCTATCGTGGGAAATCTTTGTCTGTTTTGGCTATTAAGATGAGATTTTTCATTAACGCCAAATATACCAATAGAAATTCCGATATTAATGCAGCGCGTTTTAAGTTCTAACTTCACTGAACTATAGTTATGTATATTTTTATATTTCTTATATCATAAATAATATCTTTGTGCTTATATATTTATATGTGCTTATAAATATATGAGCACATATAATAAACCTATGTATTATAAAAGGATCTGGATTTTGTTAACTTTTGATGAATCTCAAGAAGCCAGGTATTTATGATATTAAAAAAACTAATGGCACGCTTAAAATGTACCAAGGTTATCAGATCTCGACATCTAGTTATATGTCCTCGTATAACAGCCACTATAAGTCGAATAACTGCGCTGAGCAACTATCCACTCTTACATGCTGTTAAATGCGTGACCCACATGATGGTCACTAAACAAACTGAGCAGAACAAAAATATCAACCAATCTACAATACATGTCACATACCTCGCTTGTTACTGACTCATCCCGCAGTCATGACATTGAAGGTTACTGTGAGCTGGAGGAATCACTTGTCCTATAAAAGGTCCTCAAAACTCTCTCTCGCCATCACAGTGTTCTCGGCCCTCCTGTACGGTACTCCTGCAACCATGGTACGACTGAGAAGTTCTTTTGGAACATTTGTGCTATATGATATTGTGTGAAATCATTATTTCGGTGATATTAATATTATTTATTTTTCAGCATTTCGTGTCACTGATGATGGTACTCGCCACTTTGGCTGGAGTTTGCTATGGGGGACTAATTGGTGGTCTTGGTGGCCATGGTGGTGTTGGTGGCCTTGGTGGTGGCTTAGGCGGATACGGTGGTGGCTTAGGTGGATATGGTGGCGGCGCGGGTGCTCTTGGTGGCTACGGCGGCTATGGGGGAGGATTTGGCAGTGGATTTGGTAATTATGAAACACTTTTGGACAAAACTTACTAAATAACTATCTGTTTCACTATATAGTTTCCTTAAATATATCGGTTTTAGTAATAATGCTAATAATAATAAAGCTTTCGTTAATAATGCTAGCATTAATAATAATAATAATGCTTTCATAATCATCACACAGGAGGCCAGGGAGGACACACATTCGTGCTGAGCAAGAGCCACGGTAAGTACCCCCAGCTCCTCTATTAGTTTCGTGTGTAAAGACTTAATATCTTTGGCATACATGTACGTGCAAAATGTCTCGTTCTGATGCTTAACCCATGATGTCTGCAGGAAGCTTTGGTGGATTCGGCCATGGTGGTAAAATTGGACATGCCGGACTTGGCGGACTTGCTGGATTTGGTAAAGGTGGATTCAATAAATTTGGCAATGCAGGCGCTGGCTTGGGCGGACTCGGAGGAGGACTGGGCAAGCATGGTGGATTTGGTAAGTTTTTCTACAAGTTTTCTTCATGCTTTACCTTCCATGTCATCAACAGCGTGGAGAAAAAAATCGACCAAATCATATATCTTTTTTCAGGCCTTGGGAAGTAAGGCATTTGGAGTCGTCTGTTCCTGAGTCACCAGGACCAGCAGTGTTCCTCAGTCCTCGTCACCAGGACCAGCAATGTCCCTCAGTCCTCGTCACCAGGACCAGCAGTGTTCCTCAGTCCTCGTCACCAGGACCAGCAGTGTTCCTCAGTCCTCGTCACCAGGACCAGCAGTGTTCCTCAGTCCTCGTCACCAGGACCAGCAGTGTTCCTCAGTCCTCGTCACCAGGACCAGCAGTGTTCCTCAGTCCTCTCTGCTTTATCACCCAAGTTACTCACTTCTACTGAAATAAATAAAACAAATATTTTCTTATTTTCGTTATTTCGGAATTTCCTTTGTCACAGTTTCATAAATCATAAATGCAAAATCTAAACTAGAAATTTGAATTGGTAATACGTATTGTGGGGAATTCTGACTCGTGGGATTTTATTATTTATTTTAATTATAAATCAATTGATTAATTTATTAGGTTCTTGTATATAATTTAAATTTAATTATTATTTTATTTCTTACGATAGCTTAGCGGACTGTAGTTTTATTGAGAGGACTGCATGGAATTAATTTCTCCCACAAGTCATATTCCTGCACAAGTGTGGGGGGTTATAAAATTATTGTAGTCTGTTAATCGAGAATTATTGATTGACAGACAGGCAAATTTCTACCAGGAGTTAATTATACTGGGTTAGTACATTGAACGATAGTCTTATCTGATTAGAAGACTTCATATCTAGACACTAGATGGACGCGTGGGCAGACAACTAGTTATGGGCCTCATGGCTATAGTGCAGATATGATCCCACGTGACACAACTGGGAGATGCCATCTAATTCCCAGGACACCATGGAGATCTGTCGAAAGAATACAATATTGTTATTACAAATATCCTCCTATTAACAGATATGGGAAATTATTTACGATTAGTTGAGTGATTGTGAGAGGCTCACCATGTTTTTTGGATCGCCTGCCTCCTAACCGGCTGCCATCTACTAATATTATAGGTCTGTAAAAAGTTGAAGAATGTGTTTTAGACAAACCGGATATGAGGTACTCTCGTTATTTGAGGTTGCGGCAGCAGAAGAACGTCTAGATGGCTCGGATGTCGAGTATAAACATGGCTGCCTAGAGCGCTTCCCTCAAGAGAGATTAGCTTGTTACACAATGGCTCCTCCCTCCTGGTAGCTCGGTGACATCACTGGGAACCAGTTAAAATTTCGGTTCATATATGGAGAAAAGTAGGGAGGCGTTGGTTTTGATGTATTATTGTATTTGATTCAGTCACAGAGAACAGTTATTTATTGTTCATAACGCTGGACTAGAGATTTTGGCGATTGTGGATATTTTAGTAATATATTTTCTGGTGACGTGGCATTAATATTCCATGTTTAAGGAAAATTCCATTATAATCTTGTTTTCTTTGAAGGAGTTATTAATTAATTTGTGTTAGTATTAGTTAAAAGGTTAGCACAAGAACAGTATTTCAAGTATCTGCGTATTGTAGCCAGGATTATTATAGGAGGTCGTTTTTTTCCCAACATAATTCAGGGTTGAGGGGAGGGGGGGGGGTAGAAACACTTGTCGTAGTCCAATGTTCTGAACTGACAAACACTGATACTCCTCCTGAAAATTATTGGATTAATTGGAAATTAGTTGTTTGTTGCAAATTTGTGTATCAGTTTGTACAGGACGGATGTCCTGTACTAGAGTTGCAGGTGTGGGGGGAATGGGTCTCTATATAGATGCTTCATTTCCTACTAACTCTTCTGTGACTATATTTCTAGTCTAGTTAAGTTGTTTAATCTAGCGGACTGAATGTAATCAATTATTACAGTCAAGTATGCTCCTGGGACTGCATTGGGATCAGTGACATTGGTCGCAGTGACTTGTGGCTTGTTTTATGCTACTGGTCACTGATTAACCACTTAGGCCCATAGGCCCATAACCACATCACGATAAATAATCATTTTATCAAAATCAGTCGTCGTGATTTAGATATTCAGCTATGCTCCCTAATTTGCTGGAGTTTTTTTGCTGATAAAATTAATACTTTATTTTGGTATAATTGATTCAGAGGATTGAATGTATGCAATCTTTAAAGTCATGGATGGCTCTGAGACTGCAGTGGGATCAGTGACATTGGTCGCAGTGACTTGTAGTTGATTAATCTAATCTAATCCGCTAGATTAGACGTAGTTGGTGTTGGTAAAGGGAACACTATTAGTCCTGTTATACTGTTGTCCAAGGGAAAATTATAGGAACTAAATTTGCCAAAGCGACTGATGTTAAAATTAAAATGGCGACTCACTGTGGCCTTCCTCCCACTGATGCCTTGGTTGTTTTGTCCAAATGTTAAGAAGTGGTTAGAAACCTACATTTACTTTATTTTGGTACTGATAATTAAGTTGATTCAAGGGAAATGTTTTTTATACTGTTTACAGACCAAAAGCTAGGTATTAAGGATTTTCCCTATTATTTGGCTGATGAATTTAATAATGACATGATGCAATGATATCTCGTTTTCTAAGGTAGGAAATTTCCACTGTGACACGTCTTCTATGAGTGAATTTCTTATTACAAAACAGCAGCAATATTATCTGCCAATTGTATTAAATGTTAGTAACTGGTGTCGGTTTTTCCGACAATTCTTTTGCTAAGCATGTATTATCTTATATATATATGATTTCATTAAATACGAATGCATCCTTTTTCTTTTATATATTCGCAGTTTGCATAGCGAATTCAGGCTCTTGTTGAGAGATTGTGATGGAGTAGTTTGAAAATTAACTTGTTGACAGTTTGCCTATTGCCAGAGGGGTTGAGGAAGTTTTACTCACAATGAGTTGGATTATCAGTGTGAACTTGAGGACCATGTTATTTAAGTTGCAAGAGTTTGCTGCCAAGAAGTTCTCAGCTCATGTTACCAAGATACATATTACTCTCACCTTTGCTTACGTTAGAGGTGTCGTGACAGGATACACAATTTATAAATAATTTTGTATATTTACATAAGAATTTATATGAATGCTACTCACAGAATAGTATATACGCAAATGCAACATAAAAACATATTTGAGGTATGTTATAAAGTGTTACAACAGATCTAAACAACAACAAAAAGTATAACTATTTGTTGCCTTTACCTCACTAACTTTTGTTGCCTATTATTCTGAACGAGGAAACTTCTTGATGTTCGAAACACCATAGTTGGTGCGAGTCTTGATTAATCTCAAAAGATTAAAGTGTACACAACGACATCAGTTTCAGCAGTAATCTAAACACAGATGACTCTTTCATATCTCAAACTATTTTGTATAACTGCTTAAAACGAATAGTAAACAAATATTGGAAATAAAAGAAAGTAATCACTTCTGAGAATTTATTACAACAGTGGTGCCGAGGACTCAGGAACACGTCGCTGGCCTTCGTCAGGACAATGTCTTTCCAAAAGGTTTACTTCCCGTAGCCTGAAATAATATAACATGAGGCACAATAGTGTGACAATTCTATGAACGTTTTGTTGAGTTAATTATCAAGAAAACTATAGAAGAAACACGAAGATACTTACCACCATGGCCAAGTCCTCCGAGTCCACCCAGTCCAACTCCACCAAGTGCACCACCGCCATTCTTGCCGTATCCACCTTTGCCAAAACCACCAAATCCACCCAGGCCAAGCTGACCGTGTCCGCCTCCTTGACCGAATGCTCCATGGCTTCCTACAAACAAATAGGAGAAGCATTAAATTGTCAGTTGAAACACGTTTCGTATATTTGAACTCAAACTGTGCAAATGTAATCTCAACAGATACATGTATAAGTGTTGGTGACTTACCGTGGCTCTTGCTCAGTATGAATGTGTGACCTCCCTGGCCTCCTGTGGTATGATTAATTACATATTATTAATATGTTATTTAACACAAAAGAGTAATTCAACTAAGAATTTGCATATATATTTTTAATTAAATACTTGTGAAATAGAATATGCTTACCGTATCCTCCATTGAATCCTCCACCTTGGCCTCCAAATCCACCAAAACCACCCAAGCCTCCACCATAACCGTTGCCGCTACTGTATCCACCATAACCACCAAGCCCTTTAAGACCCCCAAGCCCACCAAGTCCACCAAGACCACCAAGACCACCAAGGCCACCATGACCACCATAGCCACCAATCAGTCCACCATAGCAAACACCAGCCATCACGGCCAGCACCGCTGTCACTGACAGGAAACGCTGGGGAAAAGAACAAAAGAAAAATAAGATTAACACTGAAACAAAATTATCGTTTAACATCTGCTTGTATCTCTGCTTTAAATCTATTTGTCATTAAGTGTTTATTTGGTCGTACCATGGTTGTAGGACTGGCGTGAGGGAGGAGGTGGACCGCTCTGATGGTTATGGAAGGTGTCGAGGACCTTATATAGTAGAGGAGTTCTGCCGTCAGCAGTAACCTTCAGGATGTCTTCACAGCCACGCCTGCAGGGTGATTCATTATTATAACAACAATGCTATTTCTAATGTGGAATGTTAAAGATTATTTGTTTTCTTTGTTCACAAAAGTGAGTCGTTTTGGTATAAATATATAAAATTTGGTATAAAATTTGTTCGTAATAATTTCGTAAATGAAGGCTTTTATTTGAAAACAAATTAGGTGGTGCAAATTATGTAAATCATTATGCTATCTCTTCGTTGAATTAAATAAATTTTGAATTAAAGCTTTGTCTTATAGTGGTATATTTTTTTGGTGATTCCCTGTATTCTCACCATTATGAAATATTATTTACCATCTTAAAAATAATGATCAATTAACATACATGGGATATTAGATGGATGAAAAAGAATGTGTGCTGGAACAGTTGAAAGTATGGGAGTTAACAGAAAATGTCTTGTGCAAACATAACTCTCAGTACCAATGAAGATAAGAAAAGAATCGTTCAGAAGCCTGAATGAAGGTACGGAAGTGCCTGCCCTTATTGAGTCATATGACACGATTGTGTGATAAGAATGTGAAATTGTATAAACATGAGCAGCTGAAAAAAAGAAACTGGGAAGAAAGTGGAATTTTAGGTGCAATATTCAGAGCACTTAATTATAATTGTTACTAAATAATCAATAAAAAGACAAGAGCGAACTAAGATATTATTTATATGCTGAATAAATGGATGATGGTTTCTGGTGAGGAGAATGAGTTAGAAGGAATTTGAGCAAATGAAGAGAGGAATAACGGGAGAAAACTAATAAAGAGTGAGGATGCAGAAAGTGGATGTGAGCATCGGAAGGAATATTGTAAGAGACAAGGCTGGATATTAGTAGTTCACAAGACGGCAGTTTATGTATCTGTTAATATTGAAAATATAAATTCACGAAGAACACTGAACAATTGGGCTTATAAATCTGTGAGTTAGTGTTTGAGTGACTGCTAGAGCAACATAGTGCTTGTTTAGTGCGATTGTGACTGCATTTGATCACACAACCTGAATGCACTCTGGCATGGAAGTTAAATGAATTCACAAAAAATCTCTGATACATTTGTAGGGTGGTGGTACAGTTGTACAGCACTCAGCTTTGTGGTGTGATGTATATATATATATATATATATATATATATATATATATATATATATATATATATATATATATATATATATATATATATAATATATATATATATATATATATATATATATATATATATATATATATATATATATATATATATATATATATATATATATATGTCGTACCTAATAGCCAGAACTCACTTCTCAGCCTACTATTCAAGGCCAGATTTGCCTAATAAGCCAAGTTTTCCTGAATTAATATATTACTATAATTTTTTCTTATGAAATGATAAAGCAACCCTTTTCTCTATGTATGAGGTCAATTTTTTTTTATTGGAGTTAAAATTAACGTAGATATATGACCGAACCTAACCAACCCTACCTAACCTAACCTAACCTATATTTATAGGTAAGGTTAGGTTAGGTAGCCAAAAAAGCTAGGTTAGGTTAGGTTAGGTAGGTTAGGTAGACGAAAAAACATTAATTCATGAAAACTTGGCTTATTAGGCAAATCGGGCCTTGAATAGTAGGCTGAGAAGTGCGTTCTGGCTATTAGGTACGACATATATATATATATATATATATATATATGTCGTACCTAGTAGCCAGAACGCACTTCTCAGCCTACTATGCAAGGCCTGGTTTGTTAATAAGCCAAGTTTTCATGAATTAATATATTTTCTCAAATTTTTTTCTTATGAAATGATAAACCTACCCATTTCATAATGTACGAGGTCAATTCTTTTTTATTGGAGTTAAAATTAACGTAGATATATGACCAAACCTAACCAACCCTACCTAACCTAACTAAGCTATCTTTATAGGTTAGGTTAGGTTAGGTAGCCGAAAAAGTTAAGTTAGGTTAGGTTAGGTAGGTTAGGTTGTCGAAAAAATATTAATTCATGAAAACTTGGCTTATTAGGCAAATCGGGCCTTGCATAGTAGGCTGATAAGTGCGTTCTGGCTACTAGGTACGACATATATATATATATATATATATATATATATATATATATATATATATATATATATATATATATATATATATATATATATATATATATATATATATATATATATATATATATATATATATATATAGGGCCCTAGCCCTAAAAAAACGTTCAATAGATATAGACAGCAATGACCAGATAAAGGAGAACATTATAGTAAGTTAATAACACCAGTCCGCCAACTGGGTAAGAACCTAGTGATGTATTCTGACAAAAGAAGGCAAATTATGAAGGACCTTGTAGTAATTATTGATAATAATTGGACAACTTTTGAAGGACCATGTAGTGAATACTGATAACACTGCCCAGCTGATGAAGCATCTTGTAGAAAGTGATGCCAATAGATGTAATATTTGTGAATGGCCTTGAATTAGGTTCAGTTAGTAATTTTTTCAAAAATAGAATAGAATGATTTTTATTTGATATTTACAATGATATTTAATATTCTTCCTTTTTTTCCAAATGAAAATTTTAATATTCCAATGGTGTCCCTAATTGTGTCACAGATCGAATTTTATAGTTGGTGTAACTTAATATTGTAGAACTCTATGTTAATCAAATGTGATATCATGTAGTAACCGAAGACAGACCTTGCATAGCAGGACAAAACTGTTACATTATATTGCATATGCATAATTAGAGACAAGAAGGCAAGATTCTTGATTCTTGATAAGTCCTCATTATCATAAAGTTTAATTTGAGTAAATTGATACGAAGGTAATTGCTAACTATTCTTCTAAGTTACATTGTAATTACTTTGTAATTGACAGAAATCGGATTGTTATCATTTTAGTTGTTCATAGAGGTATTATCCGTTGGATTGTTTATAAAGGTATTATCAGTAGATATGATCGTTCAGGTAGTACCAGACTGTTATGTATATGAAAGTTTTTCCAGTATGTTGGGCTGGCAACTGTTTTCATGGGATTATGCCTCTATGTCGATGCTCAATATTTTTGTTGAGAATTGACCTTTGAGATTTATATTTATTTAATTTATATTAATTTATATAGTAATTTATATTTTTCGATAGCAAATTGTATAATGTTTAGAGTGGACTGTATGATAAAAGATTCTCACAAATCGCTTTCATTCACATTCTGGGAAGTTTATGGTTTATTTATGTAGCCATCAATATAAATTATTGGTTAGTAGACATTCACTACAATATTAGACTACATATATAATTAATTAAAATGGGGAGGCCGTATCTGTTTTGTTGTGGGGCTGGTCCATCACTTATGAACAGAGGATGATCACACCAAATAATCCTTGTGGTTGATGTTAGCATCAACACCATGTACTGGTGTACTAGGTAACTTGTGTTAATTCTTCTTCCTCTTCTATTACACTTGTTAAAGGGTACTTACAATAATAGCAGTAATCCTAAATATGGCAACTTTATCAAAGGAAATATTGGTATTACTTTTGATATAAGATCCAAGGAAAATTTACCTTGTTTAGGTTGCTGTCTAGTATCCTTACCGGGTCACCCCTACTATACATACACACAACTGGCCAGGAATGTGAGGATTTATAACGGGTTTCGGCAAGAATATTTCTCTTATAGTATATATAGTTGGTGTTGATAAAGGGAACACTATTAGTCCCATAATACTGTTGTCCAAGGGAAAATTATAGGAACTAAATTTGCACCAGCGACTGATGTTAAAATTAAAATGGCGTCTCACTGTGGCCTTCCTCCCACTGACGCCTTGGTTACTTTGTTCAGATGTTAAGATGTGGTTAGAAACCTGAATCTACTTTATTTTGGTACTGATAATTAAGTTGATTCAAGGGAAATGTTTTTTATGATGTTAACAGTCCAAAGACTGATGAATTAAGGATGTTTCCGATTATATGGCTGATGAATTTAATAATGACATGATGCAATGATATCTCGTTTTCTAAGGGAGGAAATTTCCACTGTGACACGTCTTCTATGAGTGATTTTTTTATTTCAAAACAACAGCAATATTATCTGCCAATTGTATTAAATGTTAGTAACTGGTGTCGGTTTTTTCGACAATTCTTTTGCTAAACATGTCTTATATTTATGATATCATAAAATAGGAATGTATCCTTTTTCTTTTATATATGCGCAGTTTGCATAGCGAATTAAGGCTCTTGTTGAGAGATTGTGATGGAGTAGTGTGAAAATTAACTTGTTGACAGTTTGCCTATTGCCAGAGGGGTTGAGGAAGTTTTACTCACAATGGGTTGGATTATCAGTGTGGACTTGAGGACCATGTTATTTAAGTTACAAGAGTTTGCTGCCAAGAAGTTCTCAGCTCATGTTACCAAGATACATCTTACTCTCACCATTGCTTACGTTAGAGGTGTCGTGACAGGATACACAATTTAAAAATAATTTTGTGCATTTACATATGAATTTATATGATTGCTACTCATAGAATAGCATATATGCAAATGCCACAAAAAACATATTTGAGGTATGTTATAAATTGTTACAACAGATCTAAACAACAACAAAAAGTATAACTATTTGATGCCTTTACCTCACTACCTTTTGTTGCCTATTATTCTGAATGCGGAAACTTCTTGGTGTTCGAAGCACCATAGTTGGTGTGAGTCTTGATTAATCTCAATAGATTAAAGTGTACATAACGACTTCCGTTTCAGCAGTAATCTAAACACAGATGACTCTTTCATATCTCAAATTATTTTGTATAACTACTTAAAACAAATAGTAAATAAATATTGGAAATAAAAGAAAGAAATCACTTCTGAGAATTTATTAGAATAGTGGTGCCGAGGACTCAGGAACACGTCGCTGGCCTTCGTCAGGACAAT